TGGTCAACTAAAGCAATAATTGGTTCTTTCATATCACCTACTTTCACCAATACTTTGGTAGTTGCTATTGTCCAATGCTTCCGAGTATAATGGCTTAAAGCTTCTATTTTCTTATTACTATATTCTTCAAAATACACTCGTTCATTATAACTATTTTTTTATTTATTAATTACTTGTAACCTTTATCACTTTCTTCTTCATCTTTATATAATCTTGCATCAATAGTATGACTCATCCTAGCTTTGCCTATTAATTCTCTCTTTCTATTAATATTGTCAATGATAATATCATGAAATTCCTTTGTAATTTTTAAAATCTCTTTCAATGTGAATTCCACCTTGGTATTTAATACACGTTCTTTCAATACCCCCTTTAAATCTATTGTTGCTTCAATATCAGAGAGTAGCTTATAAGCTATTGATTTATCCTTATCTTTTATCTCCTTTGTTTTTTCTTCTAATGTTTTTGAAGTATTTTTTATAGGTAATTATTATGAAGGTATCTAATGAGCCTTTTCATCTTTCTAGTAAATAATTCCTTGCTATACCATATCATTAAATTCATTGCAATCCTTCTTAGTATGAGAAGCATCATTACACCAAAATACATCTTTTTATATACCTTTTTTTAGAAATATTCTTTAAATTATTCATAGAAGTCTTTTTTTCAAGTCTTGTTAATTTTATTTAAAGATCCCACATTCCACATATAATTTCTTCAATTTCCATATCTTCTTTTCTTAATAAAGACGTAAGAGGTTGAATAGTAGGTATTATTAGTCAAGTTGTATGCACTTGAATTTTAGGTGCTTGTACTATCCTTCGAATATTAACCCTATCTTTCTTTCTTTCTCATTTTACAAGCAATCCTACTGCATCTTCAATATTTTTCTACTTTATTGTCAACCCTTCATCTTCTTCTTTGTCTTCAAGAAGCAACTCCAATTTTTCTTGTAATTCTCTATCAATGGCTTGAAGAAATAATTCAACCTTGTTTGACTCCAATGTCAATTTTTTCATCTTTGACAATTGTGAATACTGCCTCTCAAATTCTCTTAATAGCTCTATTGCTTGTAAATTCTTGCTAGGCCATTCAATCCATTCTAAAAATAATTTCTTATTAACATGATTAGTGTCCTCCAAGAAATATTTGACTTTTAATGCATGTAAAAAAGTCTTCTATGAATTTCTATAATGCTTTATAATTGATTTAACATGTTCTCTTATTTTTGGAATGGTAGCAAGCCTAAATTGTTCAATCATCTTCTTATGAGAAACCCGATTTAATTCCATTTTCTATACATAACATCTTAAATACTTGGAAATATCTCTCCCATCAAATTGGTCAATCTTGTTAACCACCACTTATAATACTTTAGTTGCGAAAACCTCTTTGCGATCATTGCCTTGTTGCTCTTGCATAAATAATATAAATGCTTGAAATATTTTTGTGGTGTTTGGATCAAAGTACATACCTTGTTTGCCAATAGAAAATCTACTTGAAGCTCCACTTAAAGATCTACTTGCAGCTCCATCAAAAGCTCCATAAAAAGACACCAAATTCAATCTTCTTGCTTTCTTGTGCCATCAATTCCAAATAACCACAAATATGATCCAATACCTTCTACCCTAAACCTTCATATCGGATTCACTACTTATGTTGTGTTACATGTTGTCTTGCTTGGGAATGCACTGGGCACCTAGTTGTGGAAGGTGAAGTTGTATTTCACAAACATTCAAGAAATCCTAATAGGTTTTATCCATATGAGAAGAATATAATCCAAATATTGATTCAAAAGTACTAAAAAACACTCTTCTTAATAGCCTCGTTTGCACATAAACCTCAATTACCTCATTACTTTCATATTTAAGTAATTTAAATTTTTCTTGTAAGTCCCAATTCTAATCAATGAGCTTTGACAAGCTCTAACTTCTAATATAGCTATCCACTTGATGTAAAATTTTGCATGCAATTTTCGATGTAAGTCTTCCATATGCTATAGAATTTTCAACCTAATTCAACTTACATATTGTGAGAAAACCTCCAAAAACTGCACTAATGTCACTCAGCCGTCAACTTGAAAGGGAAGCAAAAATTCTAGCAATGCTTTCTCTTTCTATAATTGTTAAATTTGACTCAAAATTGGTATATAGCTTGATCTTTAAGTCTTTCAATACCATGCCAAATTTCACCTTAATCCAACTAATAGATCTATAGATATCACAGAAATCCTAAACAACCTCAAACTACCAACTTCTGATATGTATTTGTACCAAAATCCAAATATCTCCCAATTGCACTATTGAATTACTACAAAATTTCACATATACTTAGAACACCTAATTATCCAAGCATAGTCAAAATTTTAACTGTAGATGTGAAACTTATTTTATGAACTAGCTGAGAGTGATAGCCCTAATTTCCTTGCATAAATCCTAAGTTGCTAATATAAACCTTGGTTTCCAACAATATATGCTAATTCTTCCCAAATCTTATCAAAACCACCCTTATGTCTATGGAACAAGCTCTAACTTATCTCTCCAACTTTAATCTTTGATCTTTGAATGAAACCCTATTTTTCCTACGTAATCATTTTAGTGGCCAGAGATCTAATTTTAACCATGTCTCATAAATGGTCGACCCCCGGATATCAATCTAACCTATCCTAAGGATTTTTTAGTCCAACCCTATCCTCAACTTAATCCTAGTATCAACTATACTAATTATTTATCCTTTTTAATCTGATTTTATCAATTTATGGCATTTCTAAGATAGTAAAAGAGTTTTTATATCCTAGAAGGTAAAAATATTAATTAACTTTTATCTACTTGCTAATAAAATAAGAAAATAGGCTAAGAGGCTTTCATAAAAGCCTTAATAAAATATGTTGAATTCTTATTGAACTAATATAATAGAATATTAATTTTAAAATTATTTTTAGTTATATTTCTACCATATAATTGTATCACAATAGGACATCGCATATCGCTTCAAGCTTTTGCTACACATTCAGGTCCATCCAATCTTCTATATTTTGTAACTGAAGGAATTTTATACCAAGCCAAAGCACTTTTTGGATCAATACCAACAACCACTACCACCACTAATTATAATTGATGATCAATAAGAATATAAAGTACACATCATTTTGGGACATCGCTATCTTCATTGTGGCAATGGACGTCCACAATGTCAATACAAAGTTCTTTAGAAAGGTTATCACATTCACAATGCAATGTCGGAACCTGCACAATACTTAACCCATTGCCAAGAGACAATTTGGAGATACCTTCAAGAATAAAATAAAGACATTCCGCATTAATGGAACGAGATTAAATATATCAAGATATAAATAAGATAATTATATAGATAGTTAGAACCATAGAAGTTTCTAAAATTGAAATTAGGTTAGTAGACCTAGTAGGATCCATCGTGGAACATTCTAGAAAGAATTTAGAAAAATTATTTAGGTAGGGCTTATCATAAAACCTTCTAAAAAAGAAGTTTAAAGTAATTATCTAGGTGGAATCCACCACCTAAGAACATTTTAGAAGGTCCAGGGTTATAGGACAAGGTATAAATAGGACTAGCCAGAGCCTTTTGGGATATCTGGTCATATATGGTTTGAGACATTTTTTCTTAGTAAAATTTGGTTTTGCATCTTTTTGTTTAGTTTTATTTTGTTATGTTTTCATTTGCTTAGTTTTGTCTTTCAAATCCTATTTTGTTTAGTTCCGTTTAGTTTTGTTCTCGTCTGTTTTGTCCTATTTTGTAATGAGGCTTTATGTTGTTGTGGATTAGAAGGATCTTGGATTTTTGAGATAGTCTAATCTTGTTTTACTAGGATGGCTATTGCTAAAGACAAGAAGTCTAGAAAGTCTTGAAACAAGACTATGGATTAGAAAAGCATTGAAAAAAGTGAAGAAGGCTTCATTCTTGCCTCTATATATATTTTTAACTGGGAGCTATGTAGCGATGTCTTTTAAGATCTCTAAAATGTATTGACTTTGTAAGACACATTTCTTAACTTGTAAGACAAGTTTTTTATATGTACTCCACATAGTTAGCTTATTCTACATGCTACGAATACATGGTTAAGTTGTTGATCAAGTTTCTAACCTACCAATTAACTACAAATACATGTAAAGTCAAAACAACATCTATGAAGCTTCTATGAAGCTACTTTAAAAATATTATGAAATAAATCTACTTTTATCTATTTCTACTTAATCATATAGGTTGTTTACAATAAATATGTATGTTTGTGACAATTTTAAGATACATAAGATATTTGAGAAATTATATCAATATTCTCTCTTTCCTCCTTTCAATTTAATACCTTCTTGTATTAGTAAGTATTGCATATTACAACCAAGTATTGTCTCAATTAGTAAACATAAAAGTTGTAGAATGCCTTAGAAGAATTGTAGAGGAGCTATCATTGGTGAAAACTTATTCTTGATTTTACTTATATAATTTAATTGTTATTGTAATTAGAAAATTTATTAATATCCTTTGATGCAGGCAAAGTAGATTCTACTCATTCTATGACTTCTATCAATCATTCTTCATCAAATTTATGATACACTATCTTTAAGCACTTTTTTTGTCTTGTAGATCTCATATAACATCATGAAAAAAATGACATCTCTCATCTCATGGATTCCATGCAGCATTGTGAAACAAGGAATAATATAATAAAGTGTGAATGCAATTACAAGGCCTTGGTTGAAGCAACTTTGTTATGGTACAGTTTTCCTCTAACTTTGATTAAAGTGAGTTCTTTATTTAAACCAGCATCAATAGATTCTATTACATAATATATTATATTTTATATTATTATGGTGTGAGGTGGCCCATTTCTCACTTGCATCAATGGTAGAATCATTTAATTAGTTAGATGCCGCTGGTTGGTAATCGCTGCTGGCTACCTTGGTAGTTGTAGAGGTTGGTTTGTTTTGGGGTGTTTGTTTGTTGATCGAGTCGTCGCAATGTCCCAAGGAAGATGGCCATGTATATGGACATGATGCTCTGACACTAGCCCTGCCCCTCCCTGCACACCAAAATCATCCTGCTTCCTCCTCATGTGCGCTTGTGCGTGCACACGCCGGCATGATGTGAGATTGAGGGATCCCTTCTTCGTCTTCTTCGTCTTATTCTTCGGCGACGTTGTTATCGAGGCTTCGTTCTCGTGTTGCGATAGTAGTCCTGCGGGTGGATTACCGAAGCAGCGATATGGCAGGCTGGCTATCTATCCTCGCCACTGCAGGACTCGCAGGATTCCTGGACACGACCACGAGCCGTAGCCGTTTGCAAGAATCCTGCGAGTGAGAGAGAGCCCATGGTAGTGTCGCGAGGGCCAGGCCATGGAGGCTGAGAGCATGATGAAAGTGACGCCGACCCCGCACAGATCGCTAGGCCCCCTGGTGCAATACCGCCAATAATTCCCTTGTCATGACTCAATCGTTGACACCCACCCACCCTCTCTGCCTCTCTCTCAATGGATCGCCCACAGCTTCCAGCTCACGCTTAATGGAAGTTGTCGTGCATAATTTCACCAGAATTGTTGAGTGTACTTATCCTGCTGTGTGCGTGTAGTTTCGATTGAGCCTCGTTGGAGTGAAAAGAGCAGTGAAAGTGGGTGTAAAGTTGGTTTGGGTTGATTGATGTGTCAGAGATGCGGCAGTGACCCAGGAACATTTTTGGCATTTTGGAGGAGGAAATGGAGTGATTGAGAGTGGACCTATGCACCTCCCCCACCCCTGCTGTGAGGTGCAGTAACTATCCATCAGATTGAGATAGAAAGAAAGCCATAGGCTGCATCTTCCTCATGATGATTGCTGCCCGTTCACGATTGCGACCATTATGGCACTCGAGCTCTCTGTTGTGGGTGTCTATGTGCATGGGCTCTGAGTCATCAGTCAGAACAAGGCGGGATCCCCCACGTTGAAACCCCACTCATCCATTGTGCCTCGATCCTCTGCGTGACGCTGCACCTCTCGACTTTCTTTGATTGCCAAAAGTTCGTCAATAGCAGGATTTCTCACAGCACCCAAAGCATGGCAGAGCGGGGGGAATGTGTAGCAGTTGCTGCCTTGGAATGATCCGCTTCTTCTTGTAATGATGCATGACTTGATGAGGGGTGGTCACGAATTGCTGTTGTGAGAGTTGAGGGATTCTCAAAGATTTTTTTACAGGTGTGCATTGGAAAAATTTAATTGAAAGAGTTGCAAGACGTGTGGAGTTTTGTATTTTCGTTTCGCTTTGTTGTGTTATATATTCATTTTTTATTTTCTTCCGAATAGCGTTGATGGAATAGGAGCGAGGGTGATGAAGAGGAGCTGAGTTGATATTTGAGTTGCTCGACGTCACTTCAAATGCTTCATTCTGCATACTACCAACAATCTTCAAAACAACTTTTCTTCGCCAGTTTGTCCGCGTGATGATCCGACTGCGAACCTCTTCCCCACAGTGACAAGAGGAATGGGTATCAGAAATCGCGCACCGTAAGTCAGTGGGTAATTCTGGAACCTACTCTCGCAAAGGTTACCCCCTTCCGTACATCAAGGTAGTCGCGTACGTTAACAAGGTCGTGAAGAGGAGAGCTCGTAGATCGTCAGCTGCACCGAACTTCCAACAAAAGTTGGAAAGTACTCACGTCGGAATTGAGAACGTTGTTGGACGTACTCTGACGAAAACTTAGAATTTATAACGACACGATTGAGAGCAACACATAGAACCGAGCGAGGCTGACGCAGAATGTAACGTATATCTTGTGCGATACAAATACATCTAAGCGAGAATTTTGAAGCTGCTGCATATGGAGGGGTCACAATAGGCTCCTTTCTGCTGTAGTGGGTGAGAGCCATTCTAGGTGTTCTAGGTGTTTAGGTAAAAGAAACCACCTAGAAGATGGACACAATCGCCATCGTGCAAGTGAGAAATGGGCCACTTCACACCTTTGGGGGCGACTGGGAGCGCTCCTACCGCCCGCTGCCTGACCTATTCTTTTGCATCGCAGTACTATGGATGCTCCTTGTGGTTGTATGGACTCTAAACACTTGGTCCAAACGGCGATGGCAGGTACATAGTTGCCATCTCTCACTCCTGTGCCTTCTCTATGTTTTTTCAAACCCGTCGAACAAACGAAGTAGAGTGAGACAGCGATTGAAGGTCTCACCATCTCATTACACTTTTTGGAAGTAACTGCAGCTTTATCACAGAGATGCGTTAGTGGCAGAAATGAAATTTTCTTGCAGTAGCTTTGATTAGAGGGTGAAATTTCAGTGCATTAATCCCTAATTCATACAACATTGTGGTGAAGAATCAGAGTATCATCATCTGTCTTGACCTTCTCATGACCTCATACTAGCGAATTCATCTGGCTGGTTCATACCGCCATGAAATGTGTCTTAGACTTGCAGGTCAATCTGGGAAGTTAGTTTCCCTTGTTTGTGATGGAAAATTCCACCAGGGTATGCTAACATCTGCGTGATATGCAGAAGTTAAAAACGCTGGTGCATAACACGAAAACACATATGTTGCAATTTTTTTTTTACTAACAGAGGAAAGAACTGTAACTTTGCAGACCAGTAGTTTGCAGTGGGTGTTGACAGCTATTCCAGCCATGAAGTCGCTTGTAATGAGTCTATCCTTTGTCTTCTGGTACGGACTTCCCTTTTTGACTATATTCATTTCCTTCACGCTTTTAGCGAATGAGTCTTTCAGTCACCGATTGATTACTGTTTCACAGTTGTCGAGCACAATCTTCACACCAGGTTGCAAGTTGTCTCGGCGCACGATAGAGCGATTGAACAGTTGTTGGCCAAAAGCTCACTTAATGTTATTTTAAGTTGAATGACTTGAGAGAATGTGTCTTAACAGGTCAAGATTATAATCCACCCGAGAAAGTAATTATACCTATAAGAGGTGCCGGTTAGGACTACTTTAAAGTGTCACGACCTCATGCTCATTATTAGTGAAAATGTTTTGAAGCTTGTCAACGTTGTTTATGACGCCAGGTATTCGTGCATACATTTGAAGATCTGTTCGTTTTGGGTAGCCTTTGGAGTATTTGTATCAAGAATCTTCTTTGAGACAGCGTGCTTTGTCACCTTCTTGTTAATCTCTTACGGCTACTGTATCATGCAAGAGCAGCTCTCTCTGGCCCAGAGACGCAGCGCTGCCAGCCTCACTTCACTGCTATATCTCATCCTCACTGGTTACAAGGCTGCAGTTCCTCAGTTTGCTGTAAGTACTCCTCACCTCAGATGTCTAATCTACGAGGAGTGTAGAACCCCAGATGGTGAACTCAGTTGAATTCCATGCTTCTGCTTGCACAAAATTCAGCTCACTGATGATTGTGCATTTTTGAGATAATTGAAGTTACGTATGCGTCTCTACAGAGAGAAAACGGGCGTACTGCTCAATGCTCTGCCCATCTTGTGCAGGTTCTTATTGTATTCATCTACGCGGGACTTCTATATATTATAATGGCACATATTGCACAAAATCTGTCGCTTTTGAGAGAGCAGCTGCAGCAAATACAGGCTGAGGGCGTCCACATGATGCACAATGCTGTTCATACGAAGTATATCATGTTCAGGTTAGGGCCCAGATACTCTGAAAAATTTAGCCTGAACATTGAACTCCGATGGTCATACTTCACAAGGCAAAAGACTCGCATGCAAAAAAACATTTCTTTCTAAAGTTCGGTGTTCTCCTCCGGTGCGATATAAAGCTGACTTGGCTGGAATATCATCAATTATTGGTCTTCGCAGAAAGTTTCAAGGAGCTATGCTGGCAATGGTCGTTGCTGAAATTCTTGTACGTGGAAATTTCAAAATGTGTTCCAAGGTTAAAATATTCTGAGTTTGCATGTATACATTAAATAAAGTAAATAAAAATAAAATAAAATACAGTAAAAAGGGGAGGGGATGCATTGCATACGCACAACCTATTTACCTGGCATTATCTAGACATGGAGCAGGGTAGCCTTATCGTTTTTGGCAGGATACTAAGTGTGCTATAATTTCAAGCACTTCTCTCCCATTCCGATAGGTTAGCTGAATTGTTCACTTCCTATTCCACAGCTTCTATTATTCTCTTGTCAGGTGATGATCGTTATATAAGTGGTGATATTCCCCTTGTGACAGGTGCACGCGCAAGTGGAAAGTGTAGTTAACGAGTACTGGATGCGCCTCCTGGTGAGAGAGATGACAGAAGTAATTATCTTCCTTTTCATTGGGTAAGATTTCACGAGGCACCTCATATATCTGCTCTTCCGTCTATATCATTCGCCAGGTCTTGAAGCGAAGGATTTGCATGATAACAATGGAAACAACCAAGAAAGCTGCAAATTGTATTTGAGCCATTTGATGCTTGAACAATGTCTATGCATATCATGGCTTCACATCCAACCAAAAGTCAAGTCTCAACCCCTGAATTGTTGCAGGTGGACATTCAGATCAAGAGAACGGTTTCCATTTTTTGATGTTATGCCAACATCAAATTCCGCTGTACAGCGGACCCTTGCCCCAATATATAGTGTGGTAAGAACTTCCGAACGGGCCAGTTTTATGAGCGCACAAAGTGTCCGTATCTTTTACGCCATGCTGACTATTTTCTGCCTGTTGCATTAACCGGATCTATCCTTATAAATCCTTGCCCAATCAACAAAGGCCTGCGTTGCGTGAGCGCTTCAATTTGACTCCGAGCCCATCAGCCGTGTCATTTAGGACATTTGCTCTTTAGCTCTTTTCAGTCTTCCTTAATCTTGATATTGATACGACGAAAATCAAATCCCAGTAGCATGGGCTGCCTTCACCTCGTGCACTGTGTCAATGACGTGTTACGATTTTGGTGCAGGAAATGAATGAGAGGGAATTCAGCAAATTGGATTACAAAGAGTGGCACATTGGAGTGGTAAGATTCACCCTTCCAGTACAGTGTTATGGGACTTAGTTTGAGTACTTGTCACGAGTAATTCTGGCTTTGATGTAGCGTCTGGCTCATGCATGGATGCATTCATTCGGCCAATTAGCAATTGCGACGTCTTCATATCCGCGTTATACCTCAAGTTTACGAGCAATTCAGTCTTCAATCGCAGTCTTCGTTTGCTGTTTAATACACGGCTTGTAGATTTCCAAGTTCAAGGTTCTGACTCTCTGTGCCTTACTCTGCAGCCAACCACGGTTTCGAGAAGTGGAGATGAGAACAGGCCCACATTGGTTATTGTGCAGAACCCAAGTCTATCCGACTTCACCTTTACAGACTTCACCACCGAACCGTGCCTTAATGGCTTTCCTAAAATTCCAGGAAATTTTCAACCATTGTGGCCTAATCCATCTTCATCGTCAATAAGTGAACACGAAGGTCTGCAGCTCAGACTTAGAACCACTGGAGAACTTTCCAAAGTTGAGGAGTCTGTGCTTCGCAAAGGCAATCACATGGCCGAGCATAGTCATTGGGAGTCGAAGTCAAGGAGCATTGACAGCATGGTTAGCGACAGTACGGGGAACATGGAACAGGTCTCAGTGGATGTGAGGAGATTCAAGAACTACGCGTTCGTTCCATTTGAGCATTTATGTGGTGACTTGCGGCCTCTGCATTCGAATACATATCTATGCAAAAGCTTGCAATCCTCTGTACACTCTAAATAACGCAAGCCATCCCAATGTTGTTACTTCTAACCTGTATAATCTATTCTTGAAGCCTAAAATGGCAAATCCAAAGACGTACCTGGTGATGAGAAAGCCCAACGAGTACGAACTATTTAGAGCCCGAGCTGTCTTGCTGACAGAAATTGTAGCTATAGATTTTTATACCCAATTAGCTTTGGGTACTACAGGTAAATCAAGTTTCACGATAAGATACACATATGATGCATGACAAGTAGTGGTGAAGCGCAGCTCTAGACTTACGTTTTGAAGCTAACAAATCCAAAATTGGACGATTGTATTCCACAGATGCGTACAAAGTAGGTGAAGAAAGCTGGTGAAGCGTCTGCATGCGTGTGTTTATCTTGCATCCAAAACCAATCGAAATTCCATATACAAATGCTTGGACGTTGAAGCATTCAAGACACTAGCTTTGGTTCCTTCACTCGGAGGTAACCTCCGTGCTCAAATTAAACCAGTGACTCTTGAACCATGTTGTAGCTTACAAGGTAACTCCGCTTAACAAACCCAATGAACAAAGCAAACCAACGTGGGTAATGCCCACAAGTCTTGTGGAATTTCTTAATTCTACAACAAATCAGCGAAAAGGGAAGGGTCAAAACAACCGGAAGGAACCGCAGCGATCGACACAGAGATGTTGAGGAAGCCTCTTCGATCTCCGAGTTCTCCTGATGCAAGATCTCCTATAACTCTCCAATTCATCCGTCTCAGCCTTACCCAATCTCTTCCTTACTGTGTTGGAGGGAGATGAAGGCACTCAGCTTGCGTTCCAGTGATAGAAGTAAAAAGGTATTGGCAAAACCCACATAATCTCCAAATGAGCGTGCCAATATTCAGGATTTGTGGAAAATTTCAAATTAGTGCAACGAACAGTAATCATCTATAGCAACAAATACTTGTGGAAACAAAGAACAGAGACCTGCGTCAGTAGGTCCAAATCGAAGTGAGATACAATACTTGTACACGGAATGCAAAAGAGGAGCAATATCGATCGGATGCATAGTTGGTCTCTCAAGAGAGAGTAAGAACTTGGTCTAACTACAAAATTCTGATCTCGTGTTGGACAACTCTTGGGCAGGACTAGGCTAACGTCTAATCGATATTACAGGCTATGTCTAAACCCAAGAAGCACGTCAACAGCTTACCCACTGAAGCCAACGAATATACTTGCGTATGACATGATGTATTCAATTTCGTAAGTTCAAATTGATGTTGAACGTTTGCGAATGACATTGCTGTTTCTGCTCACTGAAATACAGTCTATTCATGAAATTGCAAGGGACGGAGACACTTGGGGTGGCACCACTGACGAAAGTAGTCTACGCCGGCTTCCAGCGTTTCAAGTGCGAAATTTTAAGCGCTATAAATCCCTCACCCATTCCATTCCTCCACAGGCGGGACACTTTGTAGCAATGTATTAACCGTAATCAGTTGTCTAAACTCTAGCCCAACGCCATAACACCGTAGCACGACATCCCTCCAAACATTGATCGAACGAGCAGGTTTACGGCACTGCAAGTGAACGCATTCTGAGTCACAACAAATCCACACCACCTCCAAAAACCTCGTCTGGTCTGAACAGAAAACTCAAGAATCTCAGTCCATCTCCTCTTAAGAAAAACCCAAAGCTCCACACAACAAAATTCAATGAATCCAACGAACTTGTAGGGCTCTCGCTCTCTCTCGAGGCAGTCATGAAACCCTAAAAATAGCATTAAATTTCCGCTAGCTGATCCACGCAACTCCTCGTATCGATATCCGAAAGATATATATATATATATATACCCTCCGGGTGTCTTTATCTGCCTCCACTGACTGATTAAGTGCTATAATTAATTAATATACTCTAAAGATCTGCATTACAAAGGAAAAATAGATGTTAAATGGAGGACTAGTAGACCAAGAGATTAGTAGAGGACATGATCAAGTCCTTTTTTAAAACCAACATTGTTTTTTATGTTTATCAATTAGAGTGTTAACTTGAATTTATAAGAGTTTTTTTGTAATGTAGAAAAATAATAACCGCAATATAATAGGATGTAGTTCTCTATTTACTTCACATTAAAATAGTGTGGTTTACAGTTCAAATTCGAAGCATACTATACTATTGAAACTAGTTAATTGAAGTGGACACAGAGCAGAACTGGAGTACTGAAAAAAAATAAGGAATGAACAATGAAATTTAAAAAAAAATAAAAATATCAACCCAATTTTTTTCTTTTCGGATCATGTAATTATAAACAAAAGTGTTGATTTTTACTATTATTATTATTTAAAAAAATATGACTTAGATGTTCTCATTTTCAATTCATCTGTTGGCGGTACAAGCTATTGAAGGTAGAACACATAGAAAAGTCTTCAATCAGTAATCAATCATCTGAGCATTCCATGGAGCTTGATTAATAAAAATAAAATAAACATTTATTTTTATTACTAGTTAATGATTATTACTGAAATTATGAAAATAAATTGTACAGGTTGTGTTTCTTTAGGTTTTTCATAATAGATATGGAATATTCATTGGATTAATTTGGAATTATTTTACACAAATCCAAATTTACATATCAAATAGACATAAGTACAGAGAACAATTGGGGTTTATTCATGTTTATGTACCCAGCCTACCAAATCACACAACAACCATCATCCAAACATCTTCCATGGACACATTCTATTCCAAATGATCAAAGATGTTTTCTAGATAATCTAGTCTCAACTTCTTTGTTTCAATATTAACTATACTTAAAATGCAAGACTTGTGAAAAGAGCAACCCCTCTATTTATCCATTTGGCTTGAGGTTGGTCTGAAGCTAATTCCATGAACATCACAAAGTTGGTGGAATGTCCTGTAGTTGACAATGTACCTAAAGAAAGAAGGCCACCAAATAAAACTAATTTGAGAGGTAAGGAGAAAATAAAGAAATATATATATATATATATATATATATATATTCATATGGGAATATAAAATAGACTCAAGTTTTTACTGAATTTGATTGGTTTTCATCCGTTGGTTTTCACTGGTTGTAGATTAAGAGTAGAGAAATGAATCTAGAGGTCATTTTTATGTTTGTGATGGTTAGGATGGATAGGTCCATTTAGTAATAGCCTAGGTCTATTTAACATTCATCTATATATATATATATATATATATATATATGCACAAAATACATCAAAGCAAGATCAACATATATCAATATATATTGTCTAAAAATTATCCAAAACATATCCATCCATATGTACCAGCACGAAGTAGGGTTTTGTAGACTGGACAATTGTAGAAGCCTTTGGAAGGTAGTTCCCGGTATTGTTTAGGATACAACCATATAATGGGTAAATTGGTATACAACTCCTTGGGATGGGATTCAGCCAATACATGGTGCACATAATCCCATCGTGCACCCTCAAGAGACAGACCGCAGATATAACATCCATCTTGTGGAGGCTCTTTGATGGATTCCATTACAAGATGGTCCATGTGCACAAAGTCAAATTGCACTGTATCAATAGGCATCTTGTTCTTCCTTGCAAAGTTTTGAAGTGTACCTGTCAAAAAAGCCTACATGCCAAATTGTGTATCACTAGTACACTTCTTCCTTGGTAATTCTTTTGGATTGAAATGCAAATATACTCATCAATTACAATTGAAAATAATATTGATTAGTAGTTAATGCTTGTACAATAAAAAATAGTTTGTTCATGTTAAGTTACTTGAGGGAAAAAGAATCCGGAAATCCAGTACACTCCTGGAGCACCTTTGTCAATCCATGTTGAAATAAAAGTGCATCTTTCAAGCAAGTCTTTCACCCACAAAGCCAATGGTTTCAAAGAAGGGTAGGCCTTCCCTTGCCACATTTCCGGAACCTAACCAAATTGTAATCATGTAAATGTTTAATTTTAAGGAATATAACATCAACTATATATATATATATATATATATATATATATATGTATATATATTCATACCAAATACAAAACTCTAATTTATTATACATATAAATACCTGATTGGCAAACACATTGATAGTAAGCAACTCAAGTTGGGTGGACATGAACACTAATCCTTTGAGTGCCTTCAATGCATCAACAAGGGAGGTGGTAATTGTAGCAATAAGGCCGTTGTATCGGATGCATTCTTGTGTCAACACCGTGTTCATGCTCTCCTCGTATGTTGTCGGATACTTTTCCAACACATGCACCATATCAAACACGGCTGGCATCAACGATTGAATCTCCAAGCATGTCTTCTCAATTATAGCCTCTCGTGATGGCCCCTTTTCTCCTCCTTCTCCTTTCTTTGTTTGCTCCCCTGGTTGTAACCCTAGAAGTGTTCCAAAGAGATCATACGTCTCATTTTGGTCACACGTGATGTCCGCATTTTCATGAAGGCCGAAGATTTCAGGTTTTGGGGTTAATGGCAACTCTCGTATGTACCCCAAGTATCCATTCAGTGTGGTTATTCCTTCAGGAACTGCAAAGATGCCAGACTCGCTGAACTTGTAGCCCTTTGTCTCCACAATCTGAAAAATCTTTGAAAACAGATTTGTAATCTTTTCTATTTGCATATTTCTTTAAATTTTTGTGATTTTTCTAGATGTTTTATTGAGACAGTATTCTGAAACAGATCTATCATAGGAGTTCTTTTATTATTATTATTATCATCTTTTTTATATAAAGAATTGAATTCAATATGAACATGTATATATATATATATATATCATTTTGAAGTATTACCTCTCTTGTAACAAATGTCATAAGAAGTGTATTCATACACCTGCGGTCTTTATCATCTGTAACTCGACCACCATAATTGATTTCTCCACTCAAAAATCTGATCACCTGTTCAGACCACAACTAGTGTTTTAGCCAAACAATGCCTGATCAATTTTAAAATGACTATTTAACTCAAATAAACCCAATCACTTAGTCAATCAAAATAACCAAAATAGATTAAAGTAATTGAAATCAAAATCAAATGAAATGAGGATTGATTGAGTTTATTGATCTGTCACAAAAGATTACCTTGTAAGGGATTTCTGGGTACTCATTAAGGAACATTTGCACCTGAACTTGGCAAATACTCAAATCCCCATCCGTGAAATCATACTGGATGTTCCAACCCAATGGTCCAAATTTTCGACGCTCTTGAATAACCGCATGGAAGAGGCAAGTGGCAAAAAGAAGTCGTTTCCATGCTTCAGGATTAGAGCAATCATTCATGTATTTGTCATTGTAGCGCAAATAGGCCCGAACAAGGTTGGCTCGAAGGCCTCGTGGAGGCTCCAAGGTCATCTTCACTCCATTTTGGAGTATGGCTACGGGAAAGTCCAAACTTGGCATGCTTGTTAACCATAGTCGGAAATCTTTGTGCACCTTTTGATTATGACACAACAACAACAAATAAATAAATAACACAAGTTTTTGTTTTCTGTTTTTTATTAAAAAAATGTTACAATTAAAATCAAGTGTTGTTATTTTTTTTGAATAAATTTTTTTCTTAATAAAAAGAAAAGTATAGTAGTGTATTGTGACTTTGATCAAGAGAAGAAGGAACAAAAAAATTAAAAGAATAGCACACTAAAAAAAATAAAAATAAAAATAAAACCTTTTCAATGTCAATGTTGTCAACAATAACATCTAGAGTCGGCATCCAAGATTGGGAGAGGTGGCAATTTTGTAAACACACCCACATTCCACGCTCCATACCATACATCAACAACTTCTCTGCTTTTGGACCTTGGCCTTGCCCCATTGAAACCTACATATATATATATATATATATATATATTCATATGTACACATGAAAAAAAAAATGTGAATTTCTTTTATTTTTATCATTGTTTTGAAAGAAAAAAAAAAAAAAAAAAAAAGAAGAAGAAGAAGAAGAAAAGAACAAAGAATTCCTTGGATACAACATTGGTGAAAATATAGTGTATGAATACAATATTTTAACATATTTAAAAGGATGAACAACAGATGAAAGAACACATTGTTTATATATATATACATGTGGGTGTGTGTGTATGTATATACAAAATGAGCATTATGAATGTTTTGACACATGTGAACCTTTTCAAATTTCTTAGAAAAGCGATGCACATTTGCGAGTTTCAACAGATCTGCCATGGGGTCAGCACCAGATGAGAGCACAAAAATGAGAGGTGTTGCTGGACCTCCATCTTTGAAGCATGAGTGCAAATCAAAAGCTGGAGGTTCTGTAAATTGTTGGCCCATTTCAACTGACACAAAATCCTACACATCAAACGAATTCATCCAAATATTATATTTAAATTGCGTGCCACACAAATATGATATATATATATATATATATATATACACACATTCACACACAACTACAAAAATCAAAAATCATAGACATAGTAGTGGTGAATATTATTGAATTTGGATGAAGAGTTGACATGGGTTTATACCACGGTGGCAAGGAGGGCTTTGTCGGGCCGAATACAACGCAAGAGCAAAAGTTTTTGGAATTGCGACAAGTTGATGTTCCATTCTCTAGCTAAGGGCAATTGATGAGGTGTGCTCGAATCAAAATAATTTTTATAGTGCGCAAGATTTTTGGCAACATGTTGACCTATGCCTTGGAAATTTGGAAGCATGCCTAGGTTCAATATCTCCATCCAAACCTGATTCCAACACCATTTTTGTCAATATTTCATTTTCACATGATGCTTGAATATTCATTGGATTTTTGTGTTATTGTGTTTTTAACCTTAATAAATGATTTAATGAATTTGATGAGTTTTTTTTTTAAAAAAATTGGCTTGAACTTTTGTTGGCCTCACTCAACACTAAAAAAACATTTACTAACTCATACTGTTGTGGAACCACAACAAAACTTTCAGAGTAAAAGAAAAATATTAAAAAACAAAAAACAAATATGGTGTTCAGCATCTATCCTGTGATGTCCTTCAAAGGTTGACAAAAGTAATATGTTACACTTTATGTGACCAGATGTTGTAATTTTTTGAAATGCTTATGAGCATCAAAAGATGAGTGTGATGTTGTGCTGGAAATTCATTGAAACCTTTTCACTGATCCAACTTGGATCTGGGTTGGGTTCTTTAAAAGCTGTTGATGTCCCTCCTTGTAATAAAAATCTCCATTCTTGTGCATGTATACGGCCTAATCCCTAAAAAACATTTTTTTTTTAAAAAAAAAAATATCCACAAAACTAAACAAGTGATTAAGCCATGTTTAAAAAATACAAAAAATAACTCAAATATAACACAAAATCTGTAAATAACTACTTAATTTTGAAATATATATATATATATATATATATATATATCATGGTATAAGAAGGTGAATTTACTTGTAGAATTTTGATACAAAGCATGAGAGAGAACATCAATTTGTGTTTTTCAAATAATGAGCGGCATACGTTGATGTATAGGGAGTATGTGAAATAGTCATTGAGGTTTACAATTCGTTGTTGCACATTAGAATCTAATTTAGCACTTTGAATTGCTTTGGTGAAGAGATGAATGAACCATGGCAAACTATATTGGTACATGGGATCCACAGTTGCTAAATCTGAAATACAAAAAAATAGTAGAGATGCCCGATTGGCCACCGGTCGATAAACCTATTGAAACCAATTTCCCCCCAAAAGTCCCAAAATCATTACTTAGGTGACTTATACAGTATTCAACATGGATGTGAAAAAAAATTATATATATATATATATAAATACAATTATTTGCCTGATGAGTAAAATAGAAGACTAACCTCACGAGTTTGGTCTATTGACAATTCTGTTTTTTCAGCATCTGCTACTTTGACTTTGATATCATCAGAAGTCATTTTTGACTCAGCCAAAGTATTGATTAGTACCTCATCATCTAGAATATTTCCCTAAACAAATGAAAAATAAAAATAAATCTTTTCAGAAAACAATGTACTTGTTTTTATAGTATGTATGTGTGTGTGTGTGTGTGTATATATATATATATATATATAAAATAAAATGAAACTTGGTGCATGGATGGTAAATTTAATATCCAATTCAACGGTTTCTTTAAAATATTTGAATAGAGCTGTGAATGAAATAATTAGAAGACCTTTGAATTGGCTAGTAGGTGCAGAATTTGGGCTTCGAGGTGTTTCAATTGGGCTCGCATTTTTGCATTTGAAAGTGTGAGTTGGACTTTGTGCTCTGCGAGATGGGGTCTTTCAAACTCAATGACATTTCCCAGCAACTGATCTTCTAAGCCTTCCATTGTCACAAAGAAATTGAGAAGTGTGACCTTCACACAAACCTGACCAAAAATGGAAAATAAATCATCAAATAAATAAATTAATTAATAATTCATTTTATTTGTAATGAATCATAATAATGTTGATTTTGTAAAAATGTTTTTTTATTTACATGTTAAAGTATCTAGTCATCAATTTATAATTTCAAAAAATTATAAAATTCTTTGTTTATCAAGAACATATATATATATATATATATATATTACTAATATCTTATTCATTTTCTAGTTTTGACTTTTAAGTTTCAAAACCAAACAATTACATTTATATATATATATATATATATACATACAATTGAAAAATCAGTGGAAATATAGATGAGAAATAAATAGATGAATGTATATGCACATGGATGTGATGGATGAATGAAAATGGTATAAATAATGAACCTCAGGAGGATAATGTGGATTTCTGAGTTTGGTGGTTAAGTATAAGCGGAAGTGTTGGTGATATGGGATAATGTTATCTCCAATTTTAATGACTTCTTGTCCGGCTTGTTGAAATGTTTGTCGTAGAAGCAAAGGCTCAAGTGCCGGATCCAATACCTCCAAAATATTCTCTAGTAAAATGATTCGGCCAAATCGCACTCCATTCTCTAATGTCCTCAAATAGTCCTTCTCGGAGAGTTTGATGACATCACACCCAACATCTTTGAACATGTTTTTTATCCACTTATTTGCTTGCCCCTATATGCCCATCAACAACATAGCATGGATTTTTAAAATCCTTTTCTCACATATCAATGCCTAATTTTAAAAAAGAAAAGAAAAAAGACAAGCTTTTATGTATAAATATATTAAATGAATCAAATCCAAAAATATGTTTGTGTCTAATAAAAAAATAACACAAAATACAAAAAAAAGATCAAAAGTTGTAAGAGAAGAACTTGAGGGTCAATCATGAGGGGCCATCTCCGTGCTTTGGAGATGATAATGCCATTGTCTTCACTAAGGGAATCACTTGGTAATCCCGCAATATTCCAAGCACGCATTTGAACAGGGTCTTTTAAGCACAATTGAAGTGTTGTATTTGGTGTATGAGGAACCTGCATCCCAGAGCATATTTAACATAATACAAGCCCTGAAAACACACACACACACACACACATATATATATATATATATATATATAACTTCAAAATCATAGACATATATATATATATATATATATAGAGAGAGAGAGAGAGAGAGAGAGAGAGAGAGCAATATACAGAAAAAATATTATATAATGAATGTGATGTAGATATGTTGATACCTCAAGATCTTTGAGTTTTTGTAACCATTCTAAGTTAAGAGAGACCCGGTAAGAAGGAATGAATGGTCCTGAGTATGCAATGTGCCCTCCGGCAATAATAACATCACCGACAACAAACGTTAAATCAATGTCAATGCGAGCAATGTTTGCAATCCATCGGGCTTGTTCTCCTCCAAGGCCACCAATGAGTTTTCCAGCTCGGTCTAATTTTTGTTCTACAACTTGAGCTTGGTGTGCAAATGTTTCTTTTCTATCAAGTGCTGCATCTAGTTCATCTTGAAGCCGAGCTAATTTTGTCTCCACCTATTTATACAAATACACCCACTTTTTAAATAATACTTTGAATTTGCATACAATAAATAATAAAAACAACATTTGTTGGTGGAATAGTTATGTGAACAAGTAAAACCCATGTTGAAGTGTTGGTTTGCACCTCCGATAATTTAAAACGTGCACCATTTAATTCCACCATAACCTCCGCAAATTGAGCATTAGCTACCTCCAATTGGGCACGTTTGGGAGCAACCACCTTACAAACTAAATAATAGGAGTGCATTGCACGGACCCACATGCAAATAGATGTGCATGCCTTGGACACCTTGGCCACCTGTAATAAAACAAAATTGAAACATGAATAGTTTCAATCAAAATATTTCTTTTTTATATTATTATTATCATTATTATTACTCTCAAACATTCATTCAACATTGTCAAAAAAATATTAAAAATATATAAATTCTATATATAAAAAAAGACATATAAAACAAAACATTATAATAATGTTCAAATTTATATTCTTAATATTAAATAGGAAATTCTTTGGTGAAAAAAAAAATTAATGCAATCATGAGTTTATTGATTTTAAATATTTAAAAATTCTAGTTGATTGTTGTCCATTGATTTGAAAAAACTTTGTAGCAACATAATTTCTAAAATTATATATTATGAACATTGTAGAGTTTGAATGTCAGTAAATATGGAGAGAAATTGAATCCAACCTGAGTGGGAGTAAAGGCTTCCATTTCAATGAATGGTTCAATTTTTTCTATTACAGCATCAGGGATATTGTCTTTATCAAAATTCAAGAGGGAGTCCAGAAATATGGTTGGATCTGCTAACAATTTTCCGCTAGCTTCCCAATAATCAGGTATTTTTTTACCCATCTGGCTGACCAGAACGCATTACACAAAATTAATTAAACAAGTTCCATCTTTCCAATCTCTCAAGTAAATGTATTTTTTTTTTTAAAAAAAAACATCCATTTTCAAAAGTAGTGTCTCTTACAAGCTCCTATCTACAAACACAAAACAAGTGCATTTCCATGCAAAATCCCAAGGAATTTTGTGAGTACATTTAACATGTTTTAACAAAAAAAAAGAAAAAAGGCAAAAAAAAGAAAAAATTACATGAGTTTAATATTATGAAATTCTGACTATGGAGAAGCTCATATATAAAATCATGTTCAAAGAAACAAAATGTGTAGATAAAATGGAGGATTTGAGACCTTGTTGGGATCATTGGTCATTTTAGGTGTCACGGCAAACATAATGCTTGTGGCTTCCAGAACCATCTTCACACCATTGGGAGGGTTCCGGAGAGATTTCACCTCCACAATGTCATTCCGTGTGAGGTTCTTGAGGGATGACAATGCCGCATCAAGTGCCGGCAAGGCCACGTCCAACTCTGCTTGTGCACTATCAGCTATGGCTTTTGCGGCCGCAGCCATCTTATTGGCTGCAGCTTCTTGCTTTTCGACCTATATCTCTTCAAAAATTCAAAATAAGTGGTGAAAAAATATCAAGAATTATATATATATATATATATATATATGGGAATACTAAATAGATCCATGTTTTTTATTAAATCAATCCACTTTCAATGAAGAGTATAGTAATCATAATGAAAATAGTTGATTTTCATTGGTTGCAAATCCAATAGTGGAGAAATGAATCTAAAGATCATATTTTTCCCTTCATGATGGTTATTATAGGTAGGTCGATTTAGTAAAAACTTGGAACTATTTAATATTCTCTTCTCTCTCTTTATATTTATATATATATATATATATATATGCACACTTATCAATATCTTAGAGATACATTATTTTAGTGCGTTTAATTTTTTTTTAAATGTTTAATTTTTTTAATCATCTTTCTTTGCTCTTAGAATATATGACAAAAAATAAATAAATAAATAAATAAGATAAGATTGTGAGTTTTTGTTGAAAAAAGATGTTTTTTGTAAGGTGCATACAACAGCTTTTGTTTTTGCAGCATCGGCTTGATCAATAGCAATAGTTGCCATCATGTTGTCGGCTTCATTTGCTGTTTTAATCAATATGGGTTGCAATACCACAAGCTCGTCTTGCATTACAGAGACCTCGTTGGCTGTGGTGAGTAGCTTGTCCAAGCCCACCATTAGCCGCCCTTTGAGCCCTTCGAGATCTTCTCGCTTCTCTTTCAAAAGTTTCGTAAAACACATCAAAAGTTCCAAATAACTTGTGGGTGTTACATAATTGTAGCGTCGAAGTTCTTCAAAAAACTCCTTTGTCTTTCTTTCAACAGATTGATGAATGAATACACAAATACTTGTAATTTTGGTGACCTGTGTCATATTATAAGTTAAGTGCATGTTCATATTTTAATAAATAAATAAAATAGTGCCATTACAGATAGATAGATAGATAAATAAATAAATAATTAAATAAATTCTTTATTGACTACTAACCATAAATTATAATAAATATGAGTGAATTTAAAGTAATAAATACAAGTTATGTTTTTCAAAAAAATTAATATTCTCAAAATTAAATTATTTTTAAAGAAACCATAAAATATATAATACATTTTTAATTTTAATTGAAGAAATTAGATTAAGCTAAAACTTACTTCTACACTTGAAAGCATTTCAGTTGCCATTAAGAAGTTTTGAGCGACAGAAATTAAAGCTTCTTGTGGCCATTCAAAGAACCAATCAATGGTGCAACAATTCACTAGTGATGGAAACATCCACAACCTTGTTCGGAAAGCATCTCCAATGGGACTCATAGCGATACACACGTGAAGATTGGCTCTAACTCTATTCAAAAACTCACTTGATATTGCTATCTTTGTGACTTGTATGCCTTTGGCAAGTAAGATGGGCTGCATAGCATTTGCTATTAGGTCTTGGTCTTCATTTTTCCACAAATTTGGCACCTAGAATAATGATTTCTATATTTTGAACTAAGAAATATATCTATATATATATATATATATATATATATTATTTGAGTAGTTAAAAGAATAATCTAATCTATATCTATCCACCAAATACATACAAATGTATACACACACAAACATACACAAAGGATATACACACTCACAGAAGAAGAAAAAGAAGAGAAGAAGAAGAAGAAGAAAAAACAACAACAACAACAATAATAATAATAAAACATAAAGATCACAATGGGAAGACATGTTTCAAGTACATCTCCTGAGTTTAAAATATTGTTGATGTCTTCTAGAAAATACTCGTATAAGATTTGAGTATCTGAAAATAAAAAAACTGTTGGCTTATTATCAAGACCTGCTTTTAATAATATCTTTTTTAAGTCTTCTTTCCATTCATTTTTGCCATACCCTTTGGCAATTTCAATCTGTGTACAGATTTAAAAATCAGTCTTTAGCAATATATATATATATATATATATATGAACACACATGTATACACAGTGCATATAAGTATACATATGTTGTTGTTTTTTTGGAATAAAACTGCACTGTAAAAAAATAAAAATAAAAATTCATGTATTGTTAAACTTTGGCATCAAAGGTCATTTCTAACATTGCCAAATTTTTGAAAAGCAATTTGTGAAAACATTGATCAACTTCATCATCAACAGTGACAAGGTTGAAGAGAACACCTGAAAAATTTCATACTCTTCCACAAATGCTGCCAGTCGGGTCAAACTTTGTCTTCCACTTCCTCCAACTCCCAACAAAAGGGCATTGCCAAGTGGCAAGCGTATAACACGACAAATGCGCGCCAAGTGTTCAACGGCATCCAAAAACAAAACCAATTTCATGGGTGCACTACTTGTGCTATTATACTCTTCTAGATAATTCTCCGCAATTTTTTGAAGGGCATGAATGTCATCCACCTAGTTGTAATCAACACAAATTGTTATGTCACCTTTGAAAAACACTTATTATCAATGTGATTACAAATATTACGTAAAGTCAAAAATAGTTTTATTATCTTCTCTTTTTTTCATTTACAAAATCATTCTATTTATGTATAGTTTTTATTGTGATTTTTTCAAAAAGGAAATTTATTTGGTGTGTATGTTTGAAAAAAATACATTCATGCAATCATAAGGTTTGTTGTGTTTTATTTTTTCATTAAATAATTGTCTTTATTTTTTCAAAAGCATGTTTACAGATGAGAGAAAACCTTTTCATAAATTGGGGGTTCTGATCCGGGATGATAGAAATCACAAAACACAAGTGGTTTAGATGATTCGAACAAGAACTCCCATGGCAGACCAAATCGTGCATCTAATTGTTTTGATATGTTGTTCTCAAACCATGCTCTGTCATCACTGTTTACTAGCCGATCCTGATCCATATAATTAAAACCAAGCTATATAATAAATGATCTCTCAAATCTTATAAAAAATTTACATTTTGAAAGTATAAAATGAGTCATTGAATGTGGCAATCATGCCACTACAAACCTTGTGAACAATATTTTAAATTAAATGTGCATATTCTATCATAATGTATTCTTTACAAAAAGAAAGATTAACACAACAATAGATTTTGAAGCACATTAATTCAACAAAGCCACACTTATATGTATGTCAAAATGGGTCAGAAACATACGGAAAAGACCCTCATGGCTTCATGCACCCAAAGGGAAATGATAGTTTCTTTTGCTTTGCATTGTTGGGGGTCTGCTTGAAGAATTCCTTGAATGACTTTGCTAAGATCGCGGAGATTGAACGTGTAATGAGACTTTGCCGGGGTGGGAAGAAGCTCCTTCCGGATGGTGTTGTAAATTTCAATGCTTCCTCTTACAATGTCTTCACCGCAACTTTGGATGTCCATGTTGAAGAGGGTATTTAATGTGGCATTCAAAATGGTGGAAAAGATGAGGAAGAGGCTATGGTCGGCCATTTCCGTGAAGGACAAGAAGTTGAAGTGGCGGAGGAAGCGCATGGTGACAGGGTTGCGACCTCCGCCAGGAGGCCCCATGCACCCCACAAATTGGATGTCAACCAATGTGCGGAAGGCGCACGGTGGGATGCGGTCGTACCACCCTTCATGGTCCATCCATTGCCGCAAGATTTCAATGGGTGGTTGTGCGAAATATTTCTCTCTTTGTGGCATGTTCACATCGTCCACAAAGATCACATACTTTTTTAGTGAAGGAGGGCCAAAGATGCCTTTCCGGCGCTTCTCTGTTTTAGAATCTATCAAATCCTGCAATTTTTATTTGATTTGATTTGATTTGATTTTTTCAAAATTAAGATACTTTAGCCCTTAAGGGAAATCAAAAATAAAAAAAATGGACTCTGGCATCACAATTCGGGTTGAATGCAGTTTTGTATACTTATTTTATTTATTTATTTTTAATAATTAAAACACATTAAAAGAAATGGACTGTGTCATTCTTACTTGTGTTTGATTTGCACTAGTTTGTGCTGAGAAATTAATGAACATGGGTATGAACTGTTGGTCAAGATTATTTAGCAATTTATCACTTATTACCAAAGTCTTACTCGTTCCTGTTTCACCTACACACAAAATGTGCTTGTTGATCATAATTAAGTGGTGCACAACATATTTGTATCCAATGGAGTCAACCGTGGGCACAATCAGTTGTGAAAATGGTTGGTTTGGGTCACATTTATAAGGCGGAATCGTCTCAAACCATTTTTGCCATTGATAACTCATGGGATCAAAACGTGCACCAAATAGATTCCATTCCAAAGGAAGAGGGGACTTCAAATCAACCTTTGAAATTAATTCTTGCATGAATGCATCGAATTTGACTCGACCATTGTTGTCACAAGTAGCGCCCACACACCATATTATAGAAAAGATAAAAAAAGGTTCAATGACCTACACAATACAAAAGAAGGTAATATGAACACTAGACTTATCAAATATATGATATGATTTTCTTTTATTTTTAATTTTCGTTGTTAATAATTAAACCTTGATTGATTAGTTTGTTAATTGATATATATATATATATATATATATATTAAATTTTATGACATTATGATATTACTTGTTTGGCTCGCATTTTGTCCTCTGTGCTGAGTTCTGTTCCTTCATTCTTAGCAAAACCAGCCATCAATGCATCCATTATGTTGAAGGTTCCGAGAACCATGTTGTCTTGTGTTGTAGAAACTGTTTGTTTGAGCTTCTTCGTCACGTGTTGGATACATGGATTGCAAACCTTCCAAAACAAATCCCGGATTGTGTCTTCACCGACTTGTCGTAAGTCTTTGCTAAGCCTTTGAATGTAAGAGTTTAGTAGAGGTTCAAAGCCCCGAGCATGAGGCTCCAAGTAGATCATGCCACATCTGCTCACCGTGGCTGGGGATGCAACTGCCAAATCCTCAACCTCAAACATCATGGTCATGGTGTTGGACATTTGTATGATTTCCCCACTCACCAAACAAAGCTTCTTATTGTCATCCAACACAGTATTCTACAGTAGAAGAAGACAAAATCAAGCTTTAGCACATAAATGAAATAAATAACTTAATAAATAAATCCACATCACATGAAACTTTTTCAGAAACACTTCAATGGTGAACAATTCAATCCTCTGTTTTCACCATATTTTCAATCCAGATGGCGTCCACAGGTCCATCAAACATGAGCCATTTTTTCGCTGGAGACGTGTCCTCAACCAACTCCCTCATGTAACAAGCCAGAACGCCGTCCGTCCATTCATGCGTGTTCTCATCAAAGTCTCCATACAACTGCCCCATCGATATAGATTTCGGATTCAAACAAGCAATCCGAACCTGCAAGGAGAAGAAGAAGCTAAAGTAAGACGAAAAAGCTTTATCACCAAACCCACTGTTCAATACAACTCTATCTATGGAATGACAACATCATTCAAAGGATGCTACAATTTGAGCAGTTTCGCATCAACTCCGACAAAGCACAATTTTAGTTTATGAGCTGAGATTCCTCATCGTCGACGGACACCTACCCGGTCGTATTTTTCAGAGCCTTCGTTGGAGAGCAGGGACATGGCTCCGGCGAGAGCTCGATAATTGCAAGTTTTGCCACCTCCCGTGGGACCGACGAGCATGAGACCATGCCTCACCAGAGTGGTTTCATAAAGTTGAATGATCTGCACATCTCACTGAGGATACAGTCAGATCTCATCTATCTCATCTGTACCACACAAGGTTCAAGTTGCAGAGTTTCTAGCAATCTGTTGAAGGAAGATGACTTGGGATAGGACCTTGTCTGTGAAAGCAGCCACTGGTTGGAGGTAGGCTTTGAGACAGTATCTTGAAAGGGCATCTAACAGATCGCTGTAAACGATCGCCGGAGGCACTACTCCTGGAAACAGATCAGTGATGATCCCTGAGAACAATGGCAAATCCTGAGTTAAGAACTTAGGCACGTTCACGTCCCGAAGCCCTCGAAGTAGCAGCACTTCCTCGCTCTCATCTGGGTACGCTCGCTTCAAATTCCCGGCGGCGGTGATCACACTCTTCACGGCTCTCATGCCATAATCGTAATGGTCCTGAAAATTCCACATACTCACTCACACAGTTAGTATATAAGCATGATGAAAAAAAGTGAACTCAATCTCATAGGAAACGAAAGATAGGATATAGAAGCACAGTAACGCGATGAGATGTTGGTTCATGATATCGCCAGCTACTCTCACCTACCGGGACCACTATCTGGTTACCTGCGATGACAGTTGCTCCGAACACAATTTAAAAGTCGTCACCATTTTCGCCGCCAGTGGTTTCGCATTGCGGAAACCAAACGAAAACAGGCTTATCTCTCCGATCAGTGCATAATCAGGCACCATCATCGCGCATGGCCTGAACAAAGCTTTCAGGTTGTCGGGAAGCTCAGAACGTCCAGCATACCTGGCAAACGAGAGATGGTTTTTATCAGTTTGTTTGCAAGATTGTCCGTCAGTTTTTTGCAATGAGAAGAATCATTCACAACTCTAATTCTATCCCAGCAGCGAAGAAGAACAACAACCCAACTGTCGGTGAGTAAACGGGAAAGGCAGGTGATCGATCGAACCCGGGGTTCATGGTGATGTAAACGGAGCAGGAAGGATCCAGGGAGATCTCGGTGTCTTCGAAGATGAAGCGCTCCATCTTTTGCTGGATGGCGAGCTGGATGGTAAGGATTTGCTGGGCGATGACAGACAGAACCTCCAAGTCGATACGATTGAACTCGTCGAAGCAGGCCCAGGCGCCGCTGCTAGCGAGGCCCTTGAAGAACTTGCCCATAGCGAGGTAGTCGAGACCGTCGGAGCAGTTAAAGACTACGCACTGCTTGGCCATGGCTTTCGCCAAGTCCTTGGTGGTCTCGGTCTTGCCCGTGCCAGCCGGTCCCGCGGGCGCACCACCCAGATTGAGATGCAGCGCGCCCATGAGCGTCATATAGCATCGATCGGTGAGCGGCGTGATCACCAGGCGCGGCGTGTTGCCCAGGTACTCGTACCCGTAAGCCAAACTAGCTTGCACCATCTTCACCCACACGCCGTCGTTCTCCCAGTAGTAGCGCAGCTGGCTCACCCACTCGAACTCCGTCACCGCCGCCGTCTGCCGACTCCGATGCACATCCAATCGTCAGGAACTTCACCGACACTGTCACCGACTCTACCGACACAGCCCAGCATCGGAGGTTTCGAGAGAATGAGATGTAGAACTCCGGGGGGGGGGGTTGGTGAGGATTTCTTTTAACCAGGTTATGATGGTTTGCTCTGTAGTGGGTACCTTTTCATTGATGAGTTGTTGCACGACGTCGCGAGCGTGGACATCGATAACAATGAGAGCGACAAGAGTGAGGCGGGCGAGTTTCTTGAGCGGCTTTCGAACAAGGTCGGTTAATCCCAGTAGTTGTCCAACCTACACTCAGAATTGTGTCGTTAAAAACCATTCACGAATCACAAATCATACACACATCATACATGTGGCATTGTTTCTGATTGTGTTGAAAACTGTGAATTCTGCTGAAAGTCCAAGTGAATCTTGTTGTAATATTTGTTATGAAAATTATGAAACTATAAAATGTTGATAAGGAAATACTGTAATGCATCAGAACTTATTCTTTTTTTTAAACGTTTTTATTTTCGTCTAATAATTAGATAATTTTAGAAGAAAAAATACTGTGCATGGAAGATGTTCATAATCATTTTTGTGATGTGAATATGTATTTGAAATTTTCTTTCTTTCTTTCCCTCTTCTCAGATACTTCTCAGAATTGGGTTTTGGTTGAAGTAGACCAACATTTGATGAACATTGAATATGTATAAATGTGTGTATATTTTGAATGCTGACCTGGACTTTGTCAAAAAATTCTTGCATGGTGTTGGTGTTGATGCCTTTTTCGACACCTTCAGTCCAAAAAATTGAGCTTCCTGCCAAAACTATTTGCCCTGGCCATTCTTGGACCCATGTTGTCCTTGCCACACTCTTGTATGCAACCAAGGCATGCTTACACTATGCACACACAAACAAATACCATAACAATACACTATAAATAAAAAAAAAACAATAAATGAAGTGAAAGATTGATGTTGTTCTATATAGTCATAAAAAAAACATGTATATATATATATATATATATATATATATGTGTGTGTGTGTGTGTGTGTGTGTGTATGTATGTATAAATGTGTGTATATTTTGAATGTTTTACTACCTGCCAGTGAATGCTTTGTCTCATTTTAATCTCAACCTCACTGAGCCAAGTTTCAACATTTCCAAGTGGTTGCATTGTTGTTGGAAATAAAATCTACGCAATAGAAACAATAAGTCATAAATTATACACTGAAATGAAGTGATAAATTATTAACATTATATGTATTAAAAATTGTAGACACAAATGTGTGTAGGAAATTTGATCATGTTATGAACCAATGTTGTCAGAAAGGTAACACATTCTTGGAACTGAATCACAATAGGATGGAGTTGCATTCAATTCCATTTGTATTTTTCTAATGGTTTTCTGAGAGATTGAAATTTTATCTATAAACAATCGAGACTTGTGTAATAATAATAATAATACCCACCTTTTCTCCTTCTCCAGAATTCATGGCTGTGATAGTTAAATCCTCCATAAAGTCTAGTTTATCAATGGCTTCAAAACATTTCCGTAGATGAGGTTGCACTGCTAATGGGTTTTTAGCTTGTGACAAAATTTGAAGTAACTCATCATTTGAAAGAAAGAAAAATCTACTAAATGCCAAACGCTTAGTTTCCAAATAATCTGAGAGCCCTTTTTGTATCATCTCCAAGAGCTTCATACAAGTGAAGTTTGTAGTTATGAATTGATGGACAAATCAAGAATTAATGGATAAATTTAAAGTTTTATTTCAAAATACATACAATTTATAATAAAAAAATGTGTGTATAATTGGTGTGAGAATATATGTATATATATGTACATCAAACTAACTTATAAAATCCAATAGACTGTACATGTAATATGAAGAACTAAAAAAGATATAGTAAATAGTTACTCTGTTAGATTCTTTGAAATTTTCCAATAGTGTTTTGCTTGAGCACATAGTAAGGATGGTTGGAGTTGTAAATGTGGTTGCCATAGCTCTTCGGTAAATGAGGTCAACTTGATCAAATCGCTTGCTTTCAATGGGCAATTGTGTTTTAATGTCTTCACTATTAAAAATGGGTTCCAAATACATCCATTGTCTTTGCACTTTAAACCATTCCTCTATAATTTCTGATACCAAAACCAACAAAGCCTCCCATTTATCAATGATGCCTTCAAATGGTTTTTTGAATGGGGAGAAACTCATTGACTGTGTCAACACAATATGATCATCTAATTGTTGAAGAGTAGAATCTTCAATCTTCATGATATAAGTCTTTGTTGATTTGTAAGGAATAATCTACAACAACATTGCACAAGTACAAACATTGTATTTAGAAATGTTACTAATAAAACATATACAATGTCCAATTAAAATTTATAATTCCTTCTTGATTGAAGAGTTTATTGGCATTTTTTAATTTTTTATATCATTGCACTAGATTTGAACTACCTCCAAATTTAAATTATTTGAAAATTGACATGTTGTGGAACTTAAAATATTAATTTATTTATTTACATAAATATGTACACAAACATGATATTTTCAAAGTGAAATATAACATATAATAAATTATAATAAAAACCTGTAATTCAAGTGAATTCCAATCTTCTTGCATTTTTTGTAATGCCATTTCTATACTGTATTCTTTACAAGCCAATTCTGATACCTCTTGGATTTCATGGAGATGATCAAGTAAACCCATGTTTATTGCAGATAACAAAGTGAATTCACGAGAAGGTTCAACATCTAAATTTATTGCACTTGAAATTTGCTTCCAATGCCGGTCATGCATACCTTCTTGGCGCAATGCATGAATTAATGGCAAATATGGTTTAAATTCAGCAACCTAGAGAATGCACCATCTAAATATATTTAATCATAAATCATCTCTTATCAAGTTGATAAAATTCACTCTATTTTGTAGTTTTTTGTATAGTTTTATCAATGAAGTGAGAAATTATGTTTAATAGTTTTTTGGAAATTTTTGACAATCTTTTAATTTTGCAAATATAAATCCAAAACAATGCCAAAATAAGCAGTATAAATCAAGTAAAAACAAAAGATAAAATAAAATACAAAAAAGAAACTAATAAGCTTATTTATGTGTGTGTATATATATATACACACATAGAAATAAATTACCTGGGATCGAATGAATTCACTAGATATAGCTTGGGAAACTAACTCCCGTTTTTGAAATTCACGAAATGTTTTCAATAAACCTTTCCACCAACCATTGACATTATTATCCACTAATGTAGCATTAAGAGAATCAAATGGATCATTCATCCATAATTGGTAGGATGTATCCCAACATTGTGCCGTATCCCACAAATAAAAAAAAGGTGCAAATTCATCCACTATTTTTTTCAATTGACCATAGTCCGTCAATACAACTCCAAATAAAAATTCTCGCGAATTGAAGAGTCGAGATTGCTCTATGGCTTTAATAATACGATCATTGAGGGCGTGGGCATCATGAGCAATCGTTTTTGTCTAAACAAAAAAATTAATCCAATACAATTATAATCAACTCATTATTTTTGTAATGTCTACTATACTAATTAATTAATATAATCATGTGTACCTCTTCTTTAGAAAAAAAAAAGGAAAAAAAAAAAGAAAAAAAAAGAAGAAGAAGTTGTGTACATAAGATAGTTTAATTTTTTAATAGTTAATCAAAAAAAAAATCTATACAAAAAGGTGAAAAAGAAATGGTGGTGAACTTGGTTCAAATCGGTGAATATTGCAAAGTTTGCAACCGCGACTTCTAGAGCGTCCATTGTGCTTATGAAAGATGCTTGTTCTATTTCCATTTCTCTTTGATATCGCTCATTGTCAATTCTCAATATCTTTGTAGTCTTTTCCATTTGTTTTTCAATTCTCTTGGGCCAAGTCAAAAGTTCACATTTTTGCAAGAAATCATTCTCTGATAGTGGCATTTGTAATTCATCAAGAGCATTGTAATAGACCTACATGTAATACATTCAACAATACACCAGATTAAAGTTTTTGATTTTATATATATATATATATATATATATATATAATCAAAGAAGTTACTTACTTAGTTACACTATCATATAAGAGAGAATATTGTACTGAAATGCAAGCAACCGGAGGTTTATATGTTCATTATTTTTGCAAATGTATATCTTTGTGTGATTAACTAGAATTATATTTATTTTCTAATTTAAAATATATATTGTGTAACAAATTTAAAATATTTATTTTCTAATTTTGAAACAGGTTTTTTATTATTTTTTTGTATATTTTCAAATTCATGAAATTAATTTTTCAATTTAAGAAGTTCAATATATATATATATATATATATATATATATATAAGCATACATATTTAAAAAAAAAGATATAAAAATGTGCTTGTTGGTTAGAAAAATCAGTTCAAAGATTATTTAATGGATTGAAAATCATTTGCATAAAGTATATTTTGGTGCATAGAAGTGATACTTGATTATTTGTGAATAGATCCATCGAAATATCAATTTAAGTAACCATTTGGTGTTTTGAAAATATTCAGTAGAATCTTTCAAAAATTAAAATTCAGTATTTAACTAAAACTATTAATATGCAGATCAATGAACCTCATTAGCTTCAATTTCAGCACATAGTTCGTTAATCTTTATGGGCATGGTTATCATGGCTTGCTTAAGAGCATCAACTTCTTCAGGATTATTGGTTTTAGTCTTGAGCAATTTTTCAAGATTTTCAAATTTGGATGAGATTTTGGCTCCTGAATCTTGAGGAAGTTTTGCAATCATTGTAAGCACTGCAAAAGAAAAAAGAAATAAGAAAAAATATATCTATCAAGATTTATTGCTACAAGTATGAAAAACAAAAATTTGAATGAACATAGTGTATTTGAAAATATAAGTTGATATATATATATATAAAAATAATAAATGAAAAAAATAATAAACCTAAGTCTATGAGTTGTTGTTTTTTTGTCATGAGAAATGTGCGTACTTTCTTGGTGTCAATATTGAAACAACCAAATTGAATTTCATTTGGAACACTACAAAAATAAAGTTAGTTTTGATTTTTTTAAAATTAGCTTGAAGTATCACAATTCAAAAAATTTGTATTAAAAATAGATTGGAATAAATATAAAAATAGAAATTTATTGTATGTTTATATCAAACCATTTATCCAACTGGTCTAAATCTTGTTTATGAATTTGAATTTCGAGTAGCAAGTCTTTTAATCCCGATTTCTTGCTCTCTAATGTAGTCTTATACTCTTTAATACTAAATTGCAATTGTGCTTCATACACACCATACAAGTCCAAATACAATATTGCAGTATTCATTGCTTTTCTAGCAGCTTTCTATAATGACAATGAAAAGGGATTAGTAACAATTAAAATTAATTGAATAAGTAGTTTCGAAAAACTATGTGTATATATATATATATATTTAGAAGACAAGTTTTATGAGCAATAACCTGCACTCTGGTTATCAAAGCTTGAACTAAAGATTCTTTTAACTTAATAGTTGCAATATGCAAAGTTTGGGTCCATTTCAATTTGCTCATCACAAAGAAATGGACTTGTGGAATTGATTTTAATGAATTGATGCAATGCTCAATACAGTTTGTTATCACTTGCTCAATGCTTGGAATGTGGGTGTTGTAATCAAATAGAGTGTTCTCAAGCATCACAATCTCTAATGAAAATAAAGGTGGTTTTTGAATCATCTGCAAAAGAAAAAAGAAAAGAAAAGAAAATTACACACATGTATGTATGTATGTATGTCAACAAAAAAATAAACAATAAATTTAATTAACATTATATATTTAGTTTATTATTATTTTTATAAAAAATAAAAAATAAAAAGAAGAGAAAAGAGATTTCAAGACTTATGACTTAGTAGATGACTTCCAAAATGTTAATCCACAAAATTGTCTCTGAGTTGTGAATCCTTTACTTACATGCGAATAAGTCAACTTTGGCCATTCACAAATCACTTCATTTATTGACTTAATATCGATATGTGCAGAACCTATGTGTTGCTCAACAAAACAAGTATATTTCTGTAGAGCATCTTCCACCAAGTATCGAAGTGAATCCTCCATCATAAGTTGAACCATGGTCAAATACCTCTTCATCTTGCTAGCGTTATAAGCGTCCATGCTTGTTTCTTTCATATTGAACCAACCTTTATCAATTTTTTTGAATGTAACTCTGAATACATTCTTGAGAGTACTTATCCAACTGCTTTCACAAAGTTTGGATTTAAACATATATACTTTTAAGGTTCATCTATATATATATATATATAAATATATATTCTTAGACCTCTATATACCTGTCATTTTAGTGAAGAAGAAAACTTGACACTCTCACCTTTCTTTCAAGTAGGTGGCGCCAGCATCAATCGTTGAAGCTTGCATCTGTTCAAATTCTTCAATTCTTAAACTCTTGGAGTATTGGGTTTGTAAAATTGTGAGGTTTAGAATCTTACTGCATTCGTCTCTTACTTTGACTGTAGCTAGGATCACCTCAGGTCGTGTAAGACAGGAAGTTACGTAAAACTCATTCTCTTTTTCTTCGATTTCGTAACCAGGAATTGATATAGTGCCATTTCTGTACACAAAATACGTCAAAATTCCAGAAAGATTAATCCAACACTGGTTCATTATATATCCTCCTGGTTTCAAATCGAAAGCGCTTGACAGTAAATTTTGCAGGAGTCCATGAGCTATTAGTTTCTTTGGACAAAAAAGGATTGGATATGTTCATTAAGTCACCTATTATATTTACAACTTGGGTCTCAATCAACTTAATCGTTACTTTATTGGAAAGGATTTTCGATACCGCGGAACTCGTGGCTTTGGTATATCTAGAGGAAGTGGTTCAGCGAACTCTATTAGATATTCTTGGGCAGGAGTTTCTTGCCGGTGAAGACTCTCAATAAATACAAGTTCATTCATTATACAGACATAATTTTGAGTAACCTCAGATAGAAGTTGAGATACGTCCTCATTTCGCTCTCTCAAAGCTTTTGTATTGTAAACGTTTTTCTTTATCTTCTTAATTACGTCTTCATCAAGAGGTAGAATGTCGTCAATGGGCATGTTTTTTACGTACATCCCAAACCTCTGCAGACATGGAAAGGTCATGATTGTTCTTCAAAGATTTTCTTGACGCAACAAAAGGATTTCACAAATTCGAAATAGAACTCGACTATTGCAGATTCCTTTTCTGAGACCTTTAACGATACAGAAAACAAAGAATGTAACAAGATAGAATCAAATACCATCTTCACTTTAGCTGCGGCACGGGCTTGTGATGCATGAACAACTCGGTCAGCAAAGAGTAGTGGGTCCTCAGCCGAAAAACACACCTGAATTCTGTGCCATCCTTTTTTCACATGCACGTACTATATAAGTGCCGGATAGGTTAAGATTTCTAAAGCTAAGAGATTGTAAAAGGAATGAAATCGTGAATCATACAATCTGAGAAACAGACCCGCAGCATCATACTAAATGGAATGACCACAACAGTCCACATAGATAATGGAACACGTTCGATAGAAAGATAAACACTAGAAACAACCATCGAAACCTTGGTCCGACGTATTACCTTGGTAACCAAGCAGTCTCTCCACTGTCATCCCATTTCACCAAATAAGTGTTGCTCGGTTCAAGATAATCTAGGACGGTGGCTGGCTTCCACTTTGTTGAGCCATTAGGTTGTGTAAAGCCTGCCTTTGCAGGAATAATGATAGATTTTTCAACCCTGTACCCAAATAAGAAAATTTCCCTAATAGGCTGAGTACATCCAGACACATTCGAAACAAGCAAGAAGTAGAATATATAAGCAAAGGCAGAGACTTGATTGAAAGTAGAAACAACAGAGTATCGTAATGACGTCGAAGAGTAGCCAAGAAGAACTAATTACAAATACTAAACTTTGCCGAATGATCTCATCTTGTGTCAACACATCAAATTTGAAATCAAGAACAACTTATAACAATGAAAGTACAATGCGTTCCAGCAAGTATACCATCCAGATGGATGTCTGGTTTCAAAGAGGATATCGTCAAATAAATATAAAGGTAGCTCTCCGTTCTCTTCACCAAATATCAGTTCATCAGAATCCATTCCTCTCTCCTTAAGTAGCTCCGCAAGATCCAGTAAGGAAAAGTAACGTTTCAACCTGTCCAATGTGTCGAGAAACATCAAGATTTTGTAAGTTAACAAAAGACGATGTAATGAAACATTTCAGTAAAAAGCCTAGAGAAGCTCAACACAATACCAACGACAAACCAAGAGCAAAAGACTGTAAAATCCTAAACAGCAGGTGCAGGCTTTCTACCCTCTTCTTCGAATCTAATTGATTCAAAACCCCCAGTGAAAATCAACATCGACACGGCGCACCTCAGGTAGCCGTTTCCAATCTCACCTCTATTCGTCTCAACAGTGACTGCAAAGTGATCAACACTTGCTACGTCACAAAGATACTGCACACTTTTAGAGTAGAGGAAAACCAACCTTGCAATTTGCTCTTCTCGTGTAAAATTACCTTCTTTTGATTCAAACGGAACCTGAACTGATGGGTTTAAAACGCTGAACTGCAAGAAACAAATGCACCTGTCAATGCCTGGCAATGAATTTGTCAAAGTCGGCACAAAACCTATATTCACTGGGCAAGGAGCACTGTTGAAGAAGTTAATAAGAGAATAGAACCTGTGCTTCATGAGCCATTTTGCAGGATCGATCCAACTCTTCTCAGTCCTTCAGATCCAAGACGTTACAAAGTAGAATATGAGCATAACAGAGACTCGTGAATGAGCACAATTGGCTTGTCAAAGAATCAAAACTCAACTTTTGCAGCATTATCCTTCGGCAGACTTGGTCACCAAATATCTTCCCTTTCTTATTTCATTGATCCGAATTCATGAAATCATTTCTATTAATCAAAAGGTAATGTGGTGACAAATTAAATGCCTGAAAGTCATGACAAACATGGTTGAGGTTCACGGAATGAGGAAAACGAGTCATACACCTGGGAAAAGCTGCCCTAATTTCAAGCACATCTCAATCTCCTCATAAATTCAATTGAACGCAAAGGTTCATATTTGGTGGTAAAAACCCTAATAATCAGTTTCCCTTCGCAACCTGACGGGGAGCTCCTCTTTGCACTAAGTTCATGTGCAGCATAGATCGACAACAAAAACTTGACAACCATGCGCTGTCTTTAGACGTGTGGTATCATGAAATATGGAAGATGATGTTCGTGAATAGCTAAGGACGCACGTGCTACAGAAATCCATGGTATTGTAGTTCAAACGTTCGTTGTTGAAAGTAGCATGTTTGGTACTGCTGTATCTATCAGACGGCAGGATGCCACGTGTTGAAAGATATTACAGTAACAAGCTCGACCAGTCGCAAGGTGAAATAAATACCTCGAAATCCACGATTGTAGAGCAGCTGCTCGCACCTCATACGCTTGATTGGAGCGAAATCATGCACATTTGGTATCATTTGCGCCATATTTTCATCCTTGCACAACTAACAAGTTCAACCATGAGTCACATCATGGCTTGGGGGCTTTCCATGCATTATTGAACCGTTAGAGTCGCTCACATTCCAAATGGAGCCACATGCGAATACAGCTTTCGTCGACCATGGCAGTTGCCTCGCATCAGAAGAAAGAAAACCAGAGATCAACCACGATAACTGATCCGGCCAAGGAAAGGAAAGCTTGGGAGCTCATCAATCCCAAACTTCTACTGAAAAGTTCAGATGCTGGCCAGATTATTAAAAAAACACGAGCTCCAATCCCCCCCCTAATAAACCAATTCCTTCACAGCCACTTCACGCGCGACGCAACATTAGTCCGCCTAAAGGAAAATTCCGATTCCCTTTCCCACGGGATCCAATCGGAAACCGTTGACAACGTAACAGTCGAAAATAAATCAAGATATTTCATCAATCGATAATCAATTCCTCCCCTAGCAGCGCGAAATCTCATCTCCTTACACTAAATCTCCTGGCACCGCGAAATGCCTTCAGATTTTCTCTTAATTATCCTTCACTTCATCAACACAATTGATGCATCGAGACGACTCAAAATGCTTCTTCGACGACGACAACGACGTTGCGGGACATTCCGCTGCTCTCGAATTCGCCACCGCCCGCAAGTGATTGCGCAAACCCTGCCCCTGCAGATTCGAACCACGTCCGTCGATGGCAGCGGCCAAATCCTCTCGTCGGAGGGAGTCCGACCCGCCAAGAGAGGACACTCACCCCGCCAGTTTTTCCTTGGCGGTTCAAATTCGCCCGCCCCCGCCTCCGCCCCCACCCCCGACATGGAATTCAAACCATGACCCCATTTACACACGGAGGATGTATATCATCCACTTTATTCATCCACGTTCATCCTCTTGCCAAGCTTTTTATTATACGGTAACAAAGGCTTTTGTTATTCTGCTTCCAGAGCTCCTCCACTGCCTGTGCTGCGCTTTATTCTTAGATAGCTACCGCCTCGAGTTGAGCGCATGTTGTGAGAAGCGATAGATCGTGAATGCCGGATAGCAGAAGCGATAAGTTAGATCTGTACAAGTAGTATTTTACTTGCAGTAAGGTCAGCACCTAAGTTAGTATGTGCTTGTGGTCTGGCGTGTATACAGGTGGGGAGGTGTTCATGTATCCATCCATTTGTTTATTTCTTTTAGCGTTAGCTTTGGGTTTGGTTTTTCTTCTTCCGGGAGGGAGGTTGAGTTGGGGATAGATGCCGTTTAGGCTTTTTAGATAGTCCAAGGGGAAGTCAACAGTAGGTTCCTGCTTTCAAGGGTGGGTTGTTGTTCGTAGCATTAGTGTGCCTCGGGGTAAGCCATGCCATGGGATAATAGGTACTAAACAGGGTGGTAGTAGCATCCATGCCGCTCCGTTGTACAGCGATGATCTTCCGTCCCCTCTGTTTATTTGCCCCTGCAATCAGCCTCGGACGTCTCGGACCAAGCTACTGGGGCTGAGAGAACGAGTCATTGAACAGATTGGGTACGTGCGCTTCCGTGTTTCATGGTACCGGTAGCGGCTTGAGAGTGAGGACGGTGCAGCTGATGAGAGCGGCTTTCTATACTTTTTATCACCTGTGAACTACGGTACTGTTGTGACTGTCGACACCGACTCGGTCGACACTCTCCTCCAGGGAAAACGCCCCCATCCACTCCCGTAGAAATGTTTCTGGAGCATGAATTAGGGTTTTTGCGCAGTAGGATAATCTTGGGACTTGCGTTGGAATTTTAGCATGTGGGTGCTCGAGAGAGGTGGTGCGATTACCGAAGCAGGGGAAGGTTTGTATTCAATTGGAGGATATCGATTTATGGTTCGGTTGTTGGTGTGTAGGCTTGCAATTGGGTAGGGGATAGGTGAAATATCTGTTTCTACCTGGGGTTCGTGTTGTAGACGCTTATGGGCGCTAGGGTTTGGTCGACTGGGATTGAGGGTTTCGGGTTCCTGGGTGGGTTTGGGGCGTCTCATGGGCGGGGTGTTGTTGTTACTCCTGGACATGGGATGGAAGGATTGGTACCTTGGCAAGAAGAGGTGGAAGGATTCTTACAGAGTGGATGAGTGTACGCTCGGTTGGAGAGGATACATTTCCACGTTCTAGTCTCATATGTTGACCAGCCAGTCGATCTAGTTAGTTGACTTTTCGTGTAAAACTCAATGTACTCACTTGCCAATTACAATAAGCAATGAGCGCATGCTTAGCATCCGGCAGTTGCCTGTCGTTGTTTGTAAGGATAGAGTATTATAAACTTTTAATTCAGGGAATAATTTCCAGCTGGATTATGGGGTATGCATGTTTAGGATGTGGCCTTACGAATGTCATGTTCGACCCTACATCGGAATACCACATTCTTTGAGGTAGTTCAATATATTGGTAACTTGCGCTTTGGATCCATGCAAGGCATTTTAGAGATTCGTTGCGCTAAATTAGCTTGTGCTAGTTGTGTACTGTATCACCTGCCCACCTCAAGTTGTGCCAAGGAAGGTTCAAATGGAGGACTATGTTGTATTTTATCGAAGACAATAGACAACACTGGGACGGTACTGGATACCAGCCTGCAACTATATAGCCAAGCGTAATAAAGAATGTAATGGAAACGTCGTGTTTGTCGTCAAAATAATACTAGCTGTATCAAGACTGGCTTGCTTTCGCTGTACAGACAGGAACTTGGAGCCTCTCTTGCGTTTTTTAATTTTTTAATTTTTTTTTCCTTAACTGTGATTTTGACGACTACGTAAACTTGCATCAGTGTCGTAAATTGGTTCACATTTGAGGTTCCTATAACTATAGGGTAGGTAGATGAATTCCTGTTTTTGTGGAGCTCCTACGAACTGGCTACCTCTTCCCAACTGATTCCAATTATTAAATATTTATTAATTGGAAATTATAAACTCGATTTTGAGATTCATTTTCCCCAATGGATTTTGCAGGTTGTGTATGTGTGGATTCTGCTGAATCCACGTTTGATGTGATGGAGGACATCACATTAGTTTGGAGGAATGATCAATCATCATCAGCTTGGGAAGAGATGCTGGTGCTTGGCGTGGCTACAGGGAAGAGAGTCTAGCAAGGTCGTAAAGTTCATAGTCCACTATCGTTGAGATTGATTTTCACTCAAATCATGTCACAATAATCCTAGGGGTGGCTTATTTGAACGAGATAGAGCTGGAGGTCGCATGTCAGCATTGTTGTTACTGGAGGGACAACTCAGTGATAAGAGGGCCGTAGGATATGGCGGAGAAGGACAAGAAACTGAAGGTGATTCTTAAACTGCCAAAGAAATCAAGCAGCCGTAGCAAGGCGGGGGTCCCTGGTGCACTATCATCACCCGGAGGAATATCTCATAAAATAAATTCCTCGCCAGTCGTAGAGAGTGAGACGCCGTTGAAGCCGAGTTCTAAGTTGTCTGTTCCCAACGCTAATGCTAATAGTCGTGTTGCCACCCCTCCTAAGAAACGCAAGTTCAAGACTTTAGTTGAAGGGGACGCCAAGGATGATCTAGGAGGCGCATGTGGTGTCTCAAGTACTACTGAAATTCTCCCCGTCTTCAAGGCTCCCTTGCCCCCTTTCGCTAAGAAGCCTTCTCATAAGGTAGTCAGTAACAATCCTCTGCTTAATATAGGCTACTTCTATTTTTAGATTGTAATTATTTGTTACTAAACAGATTTCACCCTCACAGAGAACGTTTGAGTTGATGTCACATGAATTTTCACTCCTACATTAGTGTACATCTTACGGTTAAATGTGCTTTTCAGAAAAAAGAGAGGCCGATTAATGGCGCAATTGAAGCTCCTTTTCCAAGTCTAGGTACGGTCGATGCCATTGTCATCTGTATTACTCCTAGTTGTGTACCGTGCCTGCACCCTCTGGTAGGTCGTTCATGTCGAAGTAAAGCATTCATATTTTCTCCCTCTTACGAATCCATCGGCGCGCGAATATTTCTGGCCATGCACTAGGTTTTCGTTACGTAATACAGTTGGTCCAGCTGCCTCTAACAGATTCTGGAATGTTTATAGGAAAAGGACAAGGCCCCTCACCAGCGCCTGCTAAGAAGGTGCTTGAAGGTGTGTTAGACAAGCTGAAAAAGTGAGTACAAACACCGTAGAATTGACGCATTTGTTCAATTTTCGTGGGATCTGATTGTCCGCTTCTATTTCGATATCTGTTTTTTATAAACAACTTTTTTTTCAGAGGCCTCCAATATTAAGAATGATCAAGTAGCTTGAAAGGAAATCTGGGTTGATCGGCTTTATATAATGCTTATGCAGAAAAGACACATATGGAGTATTTTCGGAGCCTGTGGATGCAAACTTGGTAAGTTCATCAAATTCCTACTAGAAATGCATGCGGATTGTACCCATGAAGGAGGAAGTATTCATAAGTCATAAATTTTGCATCTGCAAGGCAGCTGTTTACCAAATCCACATGTGGCTTGCTTATTAGAGGTTGCTTGGATCAAAGGGTGACAAATCATAGTGGTGTTTGTGCGGTTTCTTGCGTATTGTAGATTCCTTTAACAAGTTGTCAAGTTTTTATCTCCTTGACTTGTGTATATACTTCAGGTTCCAGATTACTATGATGTCATCAAAGAGCCTATGGACTTCGGCACGATGTACAAGAAGATCTCAAAGGGGCTGTATAACATATTAAGTCTATTTGAGGTAAACTTTACTATTATAGTGTAAGGTATGTAGTTCCTATATTTTAATCTCTCGGTTGTCGGCTTGGTAATCTGACATCAAGGATGATTTTACCAGTTGTGCCTATCAATCTCTGTATGGGACAGCCATTTCTGTAGATGACCTGTATTTCAGCATCCTGTTGCAGGGAGTAATTTGTGTTTTTCTTCTCAACTTTGTGCAGAAAGATATCATGCTCATTTGCAACAATGCTATGCGATACAATGGCCCAGAAACAGTATACTATAAGCAGGTGTGATTTCCTCTCTAGCTGGATTATTGTACGGTTCGACAAATATTATCATGTATTCCTGTGCTTCTCGTATATTTCCTGCATCCTTCTTATTTATCATGAGTATCCGGTGAGTATTGATGAGGAAGATCTCATCCTGATGTATCCAGGCACGCTCAATACAAGATGCTGCCCGTAAGGCATTGGATGTGATAGCTAGTCAAGCTGGGTCTGCTGAAGCTGGAACCGCCAAGCCTGCTGCGCACAAAAAGCAGGCTCATCCATCAAAGAAAACATGGTCCAACACAGCAGCTCCGAAGACAACATTGGAACCTGCGAATTCCGACTTTGCTTCTGGGGCCAGTTTAGCAGCAGAGGGAGAAGCTCAGTCAAATAAACACGATTTCGTCACTTCCAAAAGAGGGACACAGTCGGATAGATCTGGAAGTGTTGCTGGAGAGGAGCCAGGATATGGGGTTCAGTCACAGGCAACTGCCGCCTTTGAGCCAGACGCAGATGTGCAAGATGAACAAGGTGAATCTCTATACTTTAATAGCTCGTAACTTCGTCAACCGGGCGTGTCCTTCTTGCACAGATGTGGAACATGAGCATTTACTGATGTCATAGTAGCTTATCATACTGAAGACTGCGCACTGATTCGAAGCATAAGTATACTGATTTTATTATGACTTTTTGGCGGTTCAGGGGCTCAACAGAAACCAGTAGCTCTTAAGGATGGGCGAAGGCCTTCGTCAACAGAAGAGTATCACAGAAGCACTTACAAGCCACGGAACCTTTCTGCTCATGGAAGAGGACCTACTTTTGCTGGTGTTGGTGGTGAATTGCATCACCTTGTACCAGTAAGTTTGACTACTTTTGACGTTGTAAGGAAAATCTGTGTTAAATTTAAGTGATATGAAGCACTGATAACAAGCTTGAGATGCACTAGAGTGACTATTTTTGTGTGCGAATTGCAGACAGGGTATCAGTCAGAGATGGCGTATGCAAAGAGCTTGTCTCGATTTTCAGCTAAACTGGGACCTGAGGGATGGAAATTCGCAGCTCAAAGATTGCAGAGAGTATTAGCACCCTCTGTACCTTTTGGGCAAGGATGGATAGGTGTGCATGAAGCTCCCCCAGGCACGATTTTCAGAAAGTTTCCTTCGGATGTAAAAGTTACAAATGCAACGAGGACCAATCAAAATTTGAGCTCCACAGCTTCACCTAACCTTCTGGGAGGTCCATCCTCTTCTTACCCTCCAGTTACTTCTGCTTACGTGCCTAGCCCTAAATCATCTCGCCCATTGACGATAAATCCCGCAGCCCAAACTGCAATGGATTCTTTGCCGACTAAGGTTACCAGTGCCATGCTTGTATCAGGAGCAGCAAGTCAAGGAATATTTCCAGGAAAGTTAACAATGGTTGGTAACTTATCTGCAAACATTCCTCGTATATCCACTGGTTGTCATAAGTTGTACTCGACTGCTAGTAGCAAATTTTAAGTTTCTCAAATATCGTACATTGCATTTCTTATTGCCAGTTTTTTGTTGCTATGTTCTGAGATCATGCTTGCTGTTGCAGGAATCAGTTGTTGAGAAACCTTCCCAGCCAGTTTATCAGCTGGAGCGCAGCAGAAGTTGAAGCATGCCGAGTACTAGTGATGGATTGAGTGTATTAACAGGACGGTCTTTGTATATTTCCCGGACTCCTGCAAGTTAATCTTCCGTGCCTATCTCAAGCATGACAATGTTAACTTCAGATTCAGCCAATGGTGGATTGTCAAGGTGGACTGGTTCAATATGACAAGATGCTCCAACATTTGTATATAGTGATACAGGTTGAGCAGCTTCCATCTTAGCAATTATGAACGCTGGGCAGGTTGAGGTGTGGAAGTCAAAAGCGCAAAATCTGGGGTCTCTGCATGCAGATGGTCTTGCGAGTTCAAAGTTGCTGTCAAACGTTCATTATTCTCGAGCTCCATGATTCTCTTGGTGCACGCAACCACATATGTACGAAAGCGTTCCATTTTATAGTATGTAACTTGGTGCAATGATTCGGGTCCCATTAATTATGGACATTATGTTGTTCGCTACTTAGTTACAGCTCGTTTCAGAGCTTGAGCTGAGCCCATTGAAATCATGTGCTTCACAAAAAATTACAGCTGATCAATGTTGATTCCAAATGAACTGTATCTAATTGCGCAAATGTTTTGTTCAAAACTGCCACCAGCTATCAACACATTTAGCTAGCTCAGTACGTTTAAAAAATTAAACTGGCAGCTTCTCAATTCGAAACTGAGAAGACGAATTCTTACGATAAATTTAAGTGTGCGTGGATGGAAATTGGTGTCTTACATTGAGAAGATTATCATGAATAGGTGTCACCCCTGCGACTCTAACGTCACATAGTCTGGGATCTCTCTGAACAATGTTGGCATCCACTTGCGAACGCTTTTTGATAACTGATCAGATGAGTACAGCAACACCAAGTATGTTGGAATCTTGATATCCGTGTAGTTTAGCAATATGATCTGTACCATTCTCTAGCATTAGACTTAATGAACAGTACATTAAATGCTTGTTGAAAATTATGCTGGAGGAATACAAGAAATGAGTCAAAAGTATTTAGGAAACAAGAGATGAGATAAATATATCAAGTACAAATGACTTAAGTCTTGCTTCTATTAAATGTATTAATTAATATTTTCAGGGATCTTTGTCAAATCTTGCAAAAGAACTTTTTCATTCAGTTTGAAATGGTTTAAGTTCATAAATGTTTTTACAAAAGATCTAGAAATTAATGATTTTGATTTTTTCTTGTCTTTTTGAAGCAAACTATAAAAGTAGTGGTGGAGAAAAAATATTACATTTCTTTTAATTTAATTAACATATGTAGGTAATATAAAATCTATAATTATTCTATTTTTTAAATATATCAAAGATGGTATGTAGAATTTTATTTTTAACTTGTGTAAATAAATAAATAAATAAATGAATTAAAAAGAAGTAGTAAAAGTTTTGTCTAAGATAGTCAAGAAATGCTAAAATAGCACCTTTATCAAAATATATCAAAAAAGTACTATTTTAGCATGATATTTGCTTGAGAATGCTCTAGGCATCTAACTGTGGAAGATAGAATAGAAATTGCAACAACAAATTCCTAACTCTAATAGAATACTAATTAAATTCTAATTAGACCATAATAATACTAAGCAAGCTTTAATCAAATTCAAAGAAACCTCAAAGAAATTACAAAGAAATAATAAGAAATCTTAAAGAAATATTTGAATAAACATAAATATATCTCAAATACATCTCAATTCAATCTTAATTTAATCCTAATTAAAATCCTATTGGACTTCATTCAAACTTTAGGCCAAAAACTAATTAAATCTTAAATCCTAAACAAATCCTAATAAAATCCTAAATCTTAAATCAAATTCTAATTAAATCCTAAACTCTAAATCAAATCATATTCAAATCTTAAATCCTAAGTAAACCCTAATCAAACCCTAAATCCTACACCAAATCCTAACTCAAACCCCAACCAAATCCTAACCAAATCCAAAACCCTAAACCAAATACTAACCTTAAACCAAATCCTAAATCCTAAATCAAATCCTAAATCCTAAATCAAATCCTAAATCCTAAATCAAACCCTAATCCTAAATCAAACCATAATCAAATTCTAAACCCTAAATCAAACCCTAACCAAATCCTAGTAATTCCTACAACACATTTAAACTTCAATAACTAATGAATGAACTGTCAATCTTAACTCAAAATTTGCATACTTCTTAACAATTGAGTTGACAACAAGCACAAAAAATTTGAAAAGGTTCAGAACTACCAAATAGACGATAACCTCAAAAACATGCTCGGGTATTAGCCAACCTATCAAGAACAAGAACTCGATGAAAAAACAATCTAGACAAGTGAGCCTTCACTCAAAGAAAGATAACAAAATATAAATAAATAAGTGTGTATATTGAAAGAGAAACTAGAATGGCTATTGCTAAAAGATAAGAAAACTAGGAACCCTTGAAATTAGACTAGAAGCAAGAAAGGAGTTGACAAGAGTGAAGAAGGCTTCATTCTTGTCTCTATATATACTATCTAACTAAGGGCTACGTGGCGATGTTCTATAGGACCTTCAATATGTATTGACTTTGTAGGATACATGCCTTGACTTACAAGGCAAGTTTTTCTACGTGTGGGCTACATGGTTAGCTTGATCTTCAAGCTAACAATATGTGTGGCACATGGCCAACTTGTTGACCACGTTTCTAATCCAAAAAGTCAATTAAAGACACCTATGAAGTCAAAGTAGCATCTATGAAGCTTCTAGGAAGCTTCCATATTAAATACTATAGAATTAACTTACTTTTATTTACTTTTACTTACTTCTACCTATTTATATATATAATTACTAGCTTACATGAGTATGTCCATGACATTATCTCCTCTTCTAGGGACGAGTTCCACGAGGAGCGGTCATCATATGTTGAGGAAATCTATGAAGCGACGAATTATATTCGCCACATACTCTGATCTTTGTTCTCTTCGAAGATGATTGATAGGGCCTCTCAACCATCGGTAGTGTCCCATACCAGGGCGAGAAATCCACCCAATTATTTGATCATTGTTGAGAACTTCATAACTTCCTTTGAATAGAACATTTGGAATACCATCAGGAGTTGTTCCTACCTCTAGCAAAATCACCAAACATTGGGAGTCCCTTCCCAAGTTGTGATACCAAATGCATTGTATCTCGCCATCTATTCGAAGAAGAACATGTCGTTCTTGAAGATCTTCATCTCCATTGCGTCGTCTTGAAGGTTGTGACAATTGTAATGTCTCGGCTGGCAAGTCAGCAAATGAAGGCTCTTGAGTCAAATCCATTGGTTGTTGGTTCTCCATCTTTTGAGCGTCACAACTACAAAGAAGCTACAAATAAGGATTGAAAGTAGAATGTTATCTTGCCTAGATGTTATTTCTTTTATAAAAAAGGTTTTTATCTTGATTTTGATCAATGTCGTTGATAAAAAGCCTCCACTGCCTTTCTTGCATTTGCAAGATTCTTTATTGGCTCCCATGTGCGTTCATTAATATCATATCCGTGCCAATGGACAAGATATTCTAATTTATTTTGACGTCGCCTTGAATCTAAGACTTCTTCTACTTCAAACTCTTCATTATTGTCCACTTCTATAGGAGGAGGTGGAGCTTGTCGTCTTTTTGGTATGTCCACTGTCTTGTATGGTTCAAGAAGAGACACGTGGAATACTGGATGGATTTTCATTGACTCCGGTTGATGTAAACGATATGCGATTGGATTGATTTGTGCAAAAATAGAAAATGGTCCTAACCTTCGATAGTCCAACTTGTCACAAGGATGAGTGGTCTTGATATTGCGACAAAGTAGCCATACCTTATCACCCAAGAGAAATGATGGTTGTTCCTTTCGATGGACATCCGCATTGACCTTTTGTTGTTCTTGAGTCTTTTAACTGTGCCTTCATCGTTGCATGTAGCTCTGATAAATGAATCGCCAAATCTTTCGCAACAGGATTATCAACTTTTGAAAAAGTCAAAAGTATCAAGTCGTGGATGATAACCATAATTAGCAAAGAAAGATGTTTGTTTTGTAGAAGAATGTATCGTGTTATTGTAAGCAAACTCTGCCAATGGCAAAAGAGTTGTCCAATCATCTTGTTGGTAGTTAATGGAACATCTTAAATATTGCTCCAAAACTTGATTAACACGCTCCGTTTGTCCATCAGTTTGAGGATGGAATGTTGAAGATAGTTTTATATCCACTTTTAGAATCTTGAAAAGAGTCCGCCAAAATCTTGATACAAATTAAGTTCCCCTATTCGATATAATATCCTTGGATAATCCATGATAGTGATAGATATTGTCAAGAAAGAGCTTAGTTATTTCTTCACTTGTGATAGATTTTGTACATGGTACAAAATGTGCCATCTTCATAAAACGATCTACTATCACGAATATAGAATCATAAGAACCTGAGATTGGAAGATCCGTGATGAAGTCTATAGAAACAGAAGACCATGGTTGTTCTAGAATGGGTAATGGCTGAAGACGTCCAAAAGATCGATGACGAGGAATTTTTGATCTTGAGCAAACATCACATGATTGTACAAAATCTTTGATTGCCTTCCACATTTGAGGCCACCAAAAATCCCTAGATATCAGCTCCAAAGTCTTATTATATCCAAAATGTCCTGCTGTTGGGAAGTCATGATGAGCTTGAAGAACACATAAACGTGCTTCTTCTTCTGGAACATATAGGCGTCCTTCGAAATAGAGTAGGTTGTTCTTGAATTCAAATTTAGAGGGATCATGAGATTTAGAAGAATTATTCTTGATATCATGAACAAGAGGGTCTGAAGACATACTTAACTGGACTTGCTTAAGAAAAGTTAAATCAACAGTCAATGTTGATTTTATTGCTCGAAGATGAAATTGCTTCGGCTTCAAGAGAACCGTTCTTTGTTGCTCAAAAGCTGCATCTCATTCTTTTGGTGCAAGATAAGAACGTTTAGACAAGGCATCAGACAAACCTTGTTGTTTTCCTGGCTGATAAGTGATGATGAACTAGAATCTTGATAAAGACATGCTCCAACGAGCTTGACGACGATTTAATATGCATGCTGACATAAAATATTCGAGGTTCTTGTGATCCGTATATACGGTGACTGGACTGGAAGCGCCTTCTAGATAATGATGCCATTCTTGAAAAGAATCCACAATTGCAAGAAGTTCTTTGTCGTGGATCTCATAATTGATTTCTGCTGCTGAGAATTTTCTTAAATGAAAGGCTACTGGATGAAGTTTGTCATCTGTTCCCATTTGTGATAAATCCACACCCAGAGCAAAGTTTGATGCATGTGTTTCCATAAAGAATGTTTTCAAAAAATCAACATGATACAAGATTGGTGCATGAACAAATGCTGTCTTCAAAGATTCAAAAGCAACTTTCGCTTCTTCATTCCATTGGAGTTTGTCTTTACAAGTCAAACGTGTAAGTAGAGCTGTAACTCGAGAGAAGTCTTTGATGAAGATCCGATAGTAGTTGGCAAATCTCAAAAAACATTGGACATCTCTTACCGTTTTTGGGATCTTCTAATCTATAATAATTTGAAT